AAGGAAGAGGATGTAATAGAAGGCAGGCAGGCAGGAAGCTTCAATAATAGCAGCTCCATGAGTGGGAAAGATGCATTGATACAGAAGATATCAGAAGATGGTAGCAGAGAATGGGCAAGACTTAAGCCTTAAAGCAGGGGTCCCCAAACTTGGCAGCTTTAAGACTTGTGGACTTCAATTCCCAGCGATGCTGGCTGGAGAATTCTGGGAGTTGAAGTCCACAAGTCTTAAACCTGCCAAGTTTGAAGACCTCTGCCTTAAGGAAAAAGTATCAATGCCTTTGAGGTCACAGCAAATACTTTAGCGTTAGGAATGGTAATACAATATGGCTCAGGACAATTACACTAAGTAAGGGGTGTTAATTATTGTATTTTATTTTACCAGCCGCAACTATCGCTGATAAAAGTACCATTTGTCCATTGCAAAACAGACTCTTATATTTGGCCCCAAGAACGGTCTAAATCTAAAAGCTTACACTATGATTTTACAGTTCATCAAACAATATGAGCCTGGAAGTACAAAAAAGGCAGAGTAGAAAACTGTATATATCAAGAGATACAGGTAATCCTCAGTTAAGGACTATTCAGTTACAATGGATTAAAAGAAAGTTACTTACAATCTGTCCTCAAAATAATGACTGAGGCACAAAAAAAACCTCGTGGTCACATGATCACATTTTGGGTGCTTGTCAATTGGCTCACATTTATGATTGGTTGTGATCTTTTCTGACAAAAAATGCCAATTGGGAGAATGAATTTGCTGAATGACCACATGGTTTGTTTGAAGTCCGTGGTAACTTGCTTTCGACTCTCATAAAAGTGATTGTAAAATAAAGTTATGTCATGTGGTGACCCATTTAATGACCAAATCCAAATGTCAGCCCTTGGGGTTGCCAGCCGCGCTGGGGCTGCCATTCGGGTGGGGATGGAGAGCCACCATCTGGGATGTGCATCCACATCAGCCAAAGACCAAGCCCGCCGAACGCCTGCTGAACGCTTGTAAGCTGCACAGCTGAGCCGAGCAGAAGGCATACACGCCAGGGGGCACCTGCCGAGCTGCAGGGAGGGCAGGCACACCCCTGAAAAGACTACCGCATCTACAGAGACCTCAGAAGGCCAGCTGGGCCACGGGCTTCATAAACAGTGATGCGCAGCAGAACAGATGGGCAGCAGAGCGCGCGCAGGCGCAGAGAGCCTGACATGCCGGAAACAAGCATGGCGTGCTGGATGGAAAGCTCTGCAGCTGCAAAGACGTGGGCAAAGTGGCGGCACATGAGGGGTGGAAATTATATGGGGCAGGGCCAGTGGTGGGTTTCAACATTTTTTACTACCGGTTCTGTGGGTGTGGCTTGGTGGGCGTGGCATGGCTTGCAACTTTTGTAGAGGCACTTCTCTGCTCTCTGGAACAAGAACTATTTGGTAAATCCCAATACCAGAAAGCCTGTTAACAATTGTAAATCCTATCCAACAGCTCAGAACCTAGACATGGAAGGCCATTCTGGTTCAAGAACTGAAGACGATGACCTTCTTACAGGAGTGGTGTGGGAGGAAGTCAGGGGTGGGTTCTACTTACTTTTACTACTGGTTCGCAACGCGATTGTGCACACGCCTTGCTTCTGCGCATATGCAGATCACTTCTGATGATGTCAATGTCAGTGGGCGGAGCCTCCTGCTGGTTTTACTACCAGTACTATAGAACCGGTCCGAACCGGGGGCAACCCACCACTGGAGGAAGTACTGATGGAGCCCTTAGTGATTATAGTGATTATATACAGCCAGGAACAGGGTGACAAAGGATTTTCGATACCAATTCTTGGCCAGCAGGCAAATTGAATGTACAAATCATGTGGATTGTCTTTTAGAGCAGTGGTTCTCTTTCCTTCATCACAGTCCCCCCTTTAAATCCCTTTTTTGGCCACGGATCATGGCCATGGACCACCAAGGCTTTAAGTCAAGATTTAAATCATAACATTTCTTCAAGCTGTTGGAAGAAATGTCAATCTGGGTAATTGTTGGGGGGGGGGAATGTCCATCTGGGTTCAGTTCCAAGTGGGAAGAAAGACACTGGAAACATGGAGGCTGCTTGGAAGGATGGTTTAATGGTGAAGCAGAACCACAAAGCATGTGTGATTCTGGGTAAATGAACACATGGAATGGAGAGTGAGATATATTTATACCCTCTCTTGGACCTTGCAAGAAATGTATCTTATTGGTTGTCAGACTCCCAGGGGGATATGCAGGGGTCCTGCTAAGCTTGTAGGGTGTCTGTGTCCCAGGGTTGGTTGAATCTTGCTGGGTGTTGATGTAATGAAGGGGCTTTGTGTTCTGAAAGGGTGTTGGGCAATTCCTATTATGGCTTAATGGCTTTGTCCTGGTTTGGATCTTGAGTGAGGGCTAATCCTATCACCCTGGAGCTTGAAGGCCTTTTGTCTTGTAGATAGGATGGCCCAGTCTTTCTGGGGCTATTAACAAAAGTGGGGGCTGCTTTCCAAGAGCATGTTTCTCCTTTTCTCATCCAGGGAGGTATAATATTCTGTCTTTTTAATATTTCCTAGAATATTTCATTCTTCTAGGAGAGGGGTGGCTGCTAACTTTCTACAAAGCCTTTGCGGATCCACTGATGACATAGCAGCCCCCCCCCTCCAGGTGTCCATGGACCACAGGTTGGGACCTCTAAACCACTGTTTTAGAGCATATCATTCCTTTATTAGCCATCAAAATAGCTGTAGACCATGGCAGTAATCATGCAAATGATGCATAGAGGATGTGCAACTCGAAGTCACAATGAGTGCATATGACTTATATTGCTTGATAAACAGTAGTGTACTCTATTTAAATTAGAATATGCTACAGTAAAAAAAATGGAGTTGGAAAATGTGTTTCTTAAAAATAATTCATGCTAAGAAATTTCAGCAACCTTAAAAAAAACATTATTTCTCCTCATTCCACTTTACACCAAGGTGAAATTTTATTTGGAATGGTGCAAGTTTGCCACCCAGTGTTCAAAAAACAGTATTTCACATCTACTGTCTGAATTAAGGAATGTTTATTTTCTTGAAGCAATAATCTATTTGCTCTCAAAGAACACAGAGCAGCAGGCATGGAGATAATCCCTTAAAATATTGCCCTATCTTAAAATGCATTTTAAGCCATATTCTCTCTCTCTCTCTTTTTAATCTGTGCAATAATTAAGACTGATTTTCAATGGATCCTGAAATACAATTCCACATATTTTATAAAATACTTTTTTTTTTCTTGGCCAAATTTCATAAAATACTGCTCAAACTGAAAGGCACAAAATAAAATGCTTAAGGATATAAAGTCAGCTCGAGCATTTCTAAGTAGTAAGCAAAATCTAGAGTGGTATCTGGACTTTAAAGATAATAGGATTGGTCAATTTGGAAGTATTAGGATATAAAGAATCAATAACTTGATCTTTTCTTCTCTTCATATGATTTATAGAAATCTCTCAGATAAATAGTATACTTGAGAATGGTGAAATTTATGATTTAATTTTCTTATCTACACATATTAAAGTCATGACATTACACATTGTATTATCCAATTGTTTTGTTAACACTCATGAAAAATGTTTGGTAATCACTTTTGATTGATAGTAGCAAAACATCACTTTGGGTTGATAGTAGCTAAACACGGGGGGAGGGAGGAATTTACAATCTACTGTACAATTTGTAAGAAACGAAGCAGATTGACAAATTAGGAGTCTATCAAAGAAACAGGCAAGTTCATGGTGAATGTCAATATTTATTTATTGTGGCAATTAGAAAGATGGGAGAGATGGTTTGTATTATAAAACTAATTGCAAAACTGTCAACCGTAGTGAAATCATGTGTAGCTCCAAAGTGCAAGAGCTCTGTAAATATTGGCCAAACCATACTAATAGATTAATAGATTGATTTAAAAGGTAGCTCTACTTTGTACAGATCTGTTGATATATGTGTATACCTATACACACAAACACACACACTGGTACCTCTATCTATGGAATAGCAGTTTTAAAAGATAAAATATTATTTTCCTCAGCTAGAATAGAACATAACATGCATTTAATATGAAAATATATGCATGGCTAGTTAAGATTGTGGAAGACAGGCCACATACAAAAATCTGGAAGATGTGAAGCCTTCCTTCCCATTTGTTTTTTAAAGGAGTACAGTTGTGAAAGAACAGCACTTTGTCTTTTTTCTGTTGTTGTTTTGGAGGGGGGGCAGAAGTGGGAGAGGGGAACCATAGCTTCCAAGAGGAGCAAGTTCTTTCCTCCTCCTTTCTCCTTCATTAAGCTACATGGCCTTCCTAGAACCTCCATCAATCTCTCTCTCTCTCCTTTTTCCGTCTCCTAGCTAGACAGTTCATGTTAAAAGGAATGACAATAAAAGCAGGAGGCTGCAAAAATATTACTAGTTCTGCTTTTTAGGTGCATATTTCAAGGCTGCAAGCCTGGGTTTGGGAGGAAGAAAGAAGTAAAAGAATCAAGCCACAGTGAAAAATACAGGAACAGCAAGGCGCAATTGGCAAATTGAGGGCAACAAAGAGGAAGAAGAGGCAGCTATTGACAGCCTGGTTAAAGGAAAAGCAACAATAACAGAAAGTATAGAAAAACAAGTCCAGCGGAAATGAATTTGCCATTAAGTGAATCCTTTAGCAGCTAAGCAGCATAACCACACATCTACAAGTATCTGCACGTTTACATCAGATCCAGAACTCTGACTGATGGAAGAGGCAGTGGAGAAAAGAGAGTCCAAATGCTAACAGTGGGTGAAGCTGACTTAGCAACATATAAAGGGACAGTCACCAATTTTTCAGAGATTGTGCAACAGCTTGCTTTACAGTCAGCTTATGCTTCCAAACTGAAAGCTGGTAAATATAAGAGACATAGTATATGAAGCTACAGAAAATGTACTTGCTGTAAGCACCTAATGTTTTCAGAATAGTAGAAAAAGGCCTGAGGTGTAGGAAGCAAGAATAAGATAGGCACAAGAGTATGATAGACTTAATAAAGGCTTTATTTTCGTTGAGAACCAAATCTTACAGTACTTTTGTAACTGCTCAGCAATAAAGTATCTTGTGTTAGTAAAATCCAATCCACCCCGTTTACCGAACAAAAATGAGCCTGTGACACAGCCTTTACATTAGTTTAAATCTTAGTTTTTGTAAATTTTCTAATTACTTTTCTAATTAAAAAAAAAATCCAGCTGAATCTTTATCAGAAGGAAAAAACATGGTTGTGGGAAGAGTTGTAAAAGCTAGATCTGTATGTCATTCTCTGCTTTATTCCATAGAAGCCAGACATATAAACCATTTTATCAATTAGAATTCTTATAGATCTGGAGTTCATAAAAAGATCTCACACAAGCTCTGTAGGACTGTTCATTCAGGGTCGGCAATAAGGTGATAAATCTTAAATGACAAAGTGAATTACGGTAACTGCATTAGAGAAAATGAATCAAAGAATCAGTGGTTGAGAATGGGTAACTTGGCACTGTATTACAGCCACCCTCAAGGCCATTATGACTCTATACATAATGACAACTATACAAAATTTCAGTTACTTTGAAACCCAAGAGTATCATAGTAACTTGTTTTGCCTTCACGATGCAATGCAAGTACCATTGAGATGAATATGGAGAACCATACTCAAATGCAATTGTGAGATGGATTGTATGCAGATACTTCCTTAAGCGATACCAAGAATGAAATTATCTGTTTTAGGGTTTTTAAAAACTGTATACTGCTTCCAATAAAAACAAAGGAACGTTGCCTTTATTTCTACCTATCAGAATATTATCACTTCAATTATAGCTTGCTAAATTTTTCCAATTAAGGTTCTGGTGTACTCGAGAACAAAGAAACTGGCACGATTTGCCAGCATTAGGATAAAGCGTAATGCTTTGGGATTTGGTAGCACTTTGGTAAAGACTAAATGCATTTATGAAATGTGTGTGAACATCCACTGAGTTTCATATAAAAAAATGACATAACTGTAAAATATATGCATATACAAACTGAAAAATAATTTTTCATTATATTATTATGAAGGAATTGTTTTTTGATCTGACACCAAGTTTCTCTTAGACCTTGTTATGAAACCTCACATGGAAAAAAAGTTCAAAAGGTAGATAATCAGACACAGTAAACCATCCAGAATAGGTGAATTTCAAAACTTTTCCAGCAATACTGCTTAATTCTGAAATATATTTGTTTCTAGATTATTCTCTCTGAAAAATAAAAAAACGAAGAAAAGAAAAGCTTGTGGGAAGATACTTGGAATAGCTGTACGATATTTCTATCTCAAAAGCAGATATTTTGAGAATGATAAGGAAAAACTAAGAAATAAAACGGAAGAAAATCCAACGTTTTCCAAGTTTTTGTAATATATACACAAATAAACACATCATTCAGACAGTATGAAAATCAGTTTAATACAGTGCATTCATATTTAAAATAAATGTATGTTTGTTTCTGCATGGGCTATCGGTTGTCACAAATAGCAAACATCCAAGTGCTATATAGAAAAATGTACAGCTAGAACAGTAGTGTGAATTTAATTTATTTCCATAACAAAATAATTTACCATTCCAAACTCACTTCACCAATTAAAATGGGGAAAGTGACCAAGTTCAGTGTCATGATGAGAGGCATTTCAATGTTGCCAATATAAATACATACTTTAAAGTACTAAAAGCCTAATGCAATTGTACATCTAAACACAGTAAGCCAATAATGGCTTATGAGTTTTCATTTTGTAATGCTTTACGAGACTTCTAAAAATTTCATCCAACTTAAGTTATCACTTTCACATCCCAAGTCTCAACATAGTCAGAATTCTGAAAGATGAGGATCCAGCAATGGCATTAGCTAAGTCCAGAAGCTGAATATTGGAGTGTTTGGCCAATAACATTTATTATTTAAAGGAATTCAATATTCTATAATACAGATGCCCTCCTTAGAAACTTTTGCTAACTTTGTTCAAACCATGCTCTGTAGAATGTAATTCCTAGTTTGGGGCTTAAAGAAATAAAAGACTTTGCGCTTAATGAAGTCTCCCAAGTATATGTGCACCTTCAGCAACAGGTGATCAGTCCCAATTATTTATCCAGCTCATTGCTAGTACAGTTACATGTTTTCAGCCCAGGCTTCAAGCTCTTTCATGTCATCATCCTCTTCCTCTTCTTTTTTCTTAGCTAGAAGCAAAGCACAATAGTACAGAATTAAACATTTTCCTTTCAATACTGATTTAATTACCACATAGTGCAAGGTATAAAAAACCCTCTAAGTTAGAAAAATCATTACTGCTATGCTGAATGAATGAAACTAGAAATTTATGCATAACTTGTTAAATCAAGCCAAAATATAATATGAAATTACACACGTCAGAGAAAAAAATTGTCAGAGAAAAAAACGTTAAGGTCTCGCTACCTGTACTATAACAAATGTTTTTTGTTATGCAGTCTACAATGAGTTTATATTTCCAAGAACCATTTAATGACATATCAACCTTTTTGTCATGTACAGTCACAATTTGTAATATTGTCCTAATCTCAAATTTCCACCATGTAGTTTATAACATTAGATCAATCAGAATAGAGCTGCAAAGGACCTTGGAGATCTTCTAGACCAACCCCATGCTCAAGCAGAAGATCCTATACTATTTTAGACAAGTGACTAACAAGTCTCTTCTTAAAAACCTCCGGTGATGAAGCACCCTTTCTTCTTAATTCCAGGTTGCTTCTCTCCTTGACTAATTTCCATCCATTGTTTCTTGTCCTGCCCTCTGGTGCTTTGGAAAATAAGTTGATCCCCTCTTCTTTGTGGCAGCTACCTCAAATACTGGAATACTGCTAGCATGTCCCCCCTACTCCTTCCTTTCTCTAGACTAGCCAAACCCAAACCCTGCAGCCGTTCTTCATATTCTTTAGTCTCCAAGCCTTTAATCATCTTAGTTGCTCTTCTTTGCACTTTTTCCAAAGTCTCAACATCTTTTTTGTAATGTGGTGACTAAAACTGGATGTAGTATTCCAGGCGTGGCCTTACTAAGACTTTATAAAGCAGTACTAATACTTCATGTGATTTAGATTCTGTATCTCTGTTTATACAACCAAGGATTGTATTAGTTTTTTTGGCTCCTGCCACACATTGCTGGCTCATGTTTAAGTGATAGTCCACTAGGACTTCAAGATCCCCCTCACAGTTACTGTTTTTGAGCCAGGTTTCGCCTAATCTATGCTTGTATCTTTGGTTTTTCCTGCCCAGGTATAAAAACTTGCTTTTCTCCACATTAAATTTCATTTTGTTGGATAGGGCCCATTGTTCAAGTCCGTCAATATCTTTTTGGATCCTGAGATTGTCTTCTGGGGTGTTGGCTATTCCTGCCAGCTTAGTGTCATTAATATGTATTTTTATAGTTCTATAAAACTGCTATTGGAAAAAAGGTCAGATATTCCTATAAAACAAACATATTTTAGATGTAGGTGCGGCAAGATATTTTAAAAAAATTAATTATGCAAATGGAGCATATATGACTATGTTTGTAAAGCAACTACATTCGTCATAAAACATCACTTTCCAACATTTACCAGGCTTTGAAGGTAAAGCTATAGAGGGCACATTGGGTAGTGGAACATTCTCTGGACCACTGATTTCCAACAGATTTTTATCCAATTCTTCCTGCTCTAATTCTTCTAATTCAGCCATCAGCTCATCCTGTAATGGAACAAGTGAGAAAAATTTTCATTGCTTGTATTAGTATCTGTAATCACATTTACTAATATTGTATTATGAAAAAAATAGTTTTAATATATTTTTATGAACCACTGGGTGTAACTGGATTTTCTCAGAGTCTCACCATTTAGGATAGAATAACAGAGTTGGAAGGGACATTGGAGGTCTTCTAGTCCAACTCCCTGCCCAGGCAGGAAACCCTACACCACTTCAGACAAATGGTTATTCAACATCTTAAAAATTTCCAGTGTTGGAACATTCATAACTTCTGCAGGCTAGTTGTTCCACTTATTTGATTTGAGCACCATCCAGCTCCACAGTAATCAGGGTGGATAAAAATCAATGATTTTTTTAAAAAAATAAAAAAAATCAGATTTTTTTTATTTAAATTGGATTTTTTTGATTTTTTTCGAATTTATTTTAATAAAAAACTTTGGGGGTAAAATCTATCGTAAGATAGTTTTCTATTTAAGATACATAAATAATTTAGTTTATTCAGCATGAAATGGAGCTTAGTTATGTAGCATGAGGCTGTATATTCTGCAACACTGGGACTATCGGTGAGTCAACAGTGGGTCAAAGGAATAGCAGAGATGAGAGTTGCTCTTTAAAAATTATGATTTAAATCGAGTTGATTTAAATCAAGCCTTTTTACTAGTGATTTAAATCATGATTTAAATTGACTCGATTTAAATCAAATCCACCTTGACAGTAATTCAGGGCAATTCCCAATATAAAATAACAATTTATTTTCAGTTATTTATTTATAACAGTTATTGGCTATCCATCTTACCACAGGGCAACTCTGGACAGCTTACAATCATAAAAGATAAAAATTATATATACTAAAAACATTAAGTTAATTCAAGCCAAACACTACAGTTCAATTAAAGATGAGGAGACCAGGAGCAGAATGGGGGAGGAGATGAGATCAGCCACTTCCACTATTATGCTCCCACATTGGAGCCCCAAGATAACTGGAAGAGCCAAGCCTTTAGGCTCTTACAGAAGGTCAGAAGGGTTGGAGCCAACCTTACTCCAGGAAGCAAGATGTTCCAGAGAGCAGGCATAATGGCGGAGAATGACCTTCTTCTGGATCCCACCAGCCAGAATCCTCGAACTGACAGGACCAACAGCATGCTTCCTCTGCTGGCATGGGTGGGGAGGGCCGATCCCAGTGGGATGAGACAGTCCCTCAAGTACCCTGGACCCATGCTATAAAGGGCTTTAAAGATGATTATCAACACTTTGAATTGCACTCGGAATGCAGCTTGTGAAGCTCTGGTGTTACATGGGTTATTGTTTGGGCCCCAAGAACTATTCGTGCTGCTGCACTCTGCGTTAGCTGTAGCTTCCAAATGCTCTTCAAGAATAGTCCCATATATACAGTGCATTATAATAGTTGTACATCGTGAGATGATTAGGTCCTAAATGATTGAGTGCAGGGACTCCTGATCCAGCAAAGGCTGCAACTGGTGCACAACCTGAAGTTGTGCAAAGGCTCTCCTAGCTGCGACTGCCACCTGCTCTTCGAGGAGGAGTTGTGAGTCCAGGACAACCTTCAAGTTGCAGATCAGACCCATTTAGGGCAGTGCCACCCCATCCAGAGTGGGGTGCACCCAAAGCCATTCAGTCTTTCCAGTCTTGCCAGGGTTCAGTCAAAGTTTCCCCCATCCAGGCCCCCAGAGCCTCCAGGCAGCCCGAGAGGGCAGCAACAGCATCACATGCGTCGCCAAGCGTGGAAATATAAAGTTGGGTATTGTCAGCGTACTGCTGATATCTCAACCCATGGTGACAGATTATTTTACCCAGTGGCTTCATCAAGTTGTTAAAAAGAAATGGAGAAAGTACCAAGTCCTGTGGCATACAACAAGATAACTGTCGAGAGAGACTTCCCACGCCCTATTAACTCCAAGTGACACTGGCCATGGAGAAAGGAGACAAATCAGCACAAAACTGTGCTGCCCAGCCCTAGACCCTGTAGCCAACCCAAAACCATGCCATGTTGGATGGTATTGAAGACTACTGAAAGGTTAAGAAGAGTGAGGATGGTTTAACAGTCGTGGTTCTTAACAGCTGACCACATCATCATGTCCAATGTTTTCTAAACCATCATAATGCATTACTCATGAGTAATTAGCCCTCTATTACAGCATTTTAAATCACTGAGCTTCCTAACCACTGTATGTCTGACACAGAATGAAATTATTTTTAGTTATTTATTCTTACGTCATCAAATTCTTCACCAATTCCTACAGGCTTGGAGATAGCGGTTGAAATTTCATCAGCTAACTCTTGCTGTTCTGCAATATCTTGCATGAGTTCATCTACTTTGTCAATATCCCTGTAAGAGACAAATTTGGTAAGTTTCATCCATTCAGGTAATATCTTGGAGATCAATTAAAACTACTAGGCATTTCTGGAAACCTATATGGAACTCATTTCAACACTGATTTAATTTAAATTCTTTTAATATTAGACTTAACAATTTATGAAGATGAGTTACTATAATTATTTGCAACACAATAAGGATTTATTCCAGTTAGAATTTAAACTGAGATCAAAGTAGTAAAATGCCTTTTATGCTACACGAAAAATTATTTCAGTATACAAAGTAGAATGCATTTATGAATAATCACAGAAATGAGCTATAATTAGTGTTCCAATTTTTCCAAAATAAAGGAATTGGTAATTATTAAGCAAAATTGGCATTTCTTTGCCTTATTCAATAATGCTGCATGTTAATAATTTCACCATGCTTTATAGTACTCAAGACGCTTGGGGGAGATCTGAATTCTAAGACTTGTGATCTGTTCTCTCTGGATCAATTTTGAAATTTTTAAAAAGCTGATTTTTTTTGACAATGGTCAAAAATGCACCAATTAAACACAAAACACTGCAGATCCTAATCATTGCTTTGTACTCATCCTTCCAGAAAACCAATGAGAAGGGTATCTTACATGTTATCATGAGCAGCTTTCATTGCTTTTGCAGCAAAGCCCATATTCTTGAGCACTTCAGTGTTGGTGTTAGCATTTTCCAAGGCTTCCCTCTGGAACTCAATTGTGGAAAGTGTGCCATCTATTTGAGCAAGTTGCTTTTCGTATCTCTTCTTTCGTTTGAGAGCTTGGAGTGCAGCTGGATAAAAATAACACAAAGCATGATTGATATATAATGTGCCTCTACAACTGTCTCTGCTAGAATGCTACCCAGAATATAAAACCACTTGAAATGTGTGCTCACAATTACTTCTCTTTATTTTGCTCCAAACTTCAAAATTAACATTATTATTACCAACAGATACTCTTTCCTAGGCAAATAAATTGTATTTATTAACTCTAAATCTAACTCGAGGATAAAAACCCACCAGATCAGATTCATAGAGTTACTGGTGTTTATGGAAAGTACAAATGGACTTGGACAAAGATGAAAAGAACTTCATGAGAAGAGACAATGATACCAGAAGAAAATAGGAATTAGAATTCTAACTATGGGACCTAAGGATAGCTGGGAGGAGGCTGTCATTTACTTGAATCTCTCATTAAATTCCATCAAAATCTTAACTTACACTACACCATCAACCTTAGTTCTGACCTATTTATAGAACAAGTTCACTTTCTTGACATTACAAAAAATTACACAATAGACAATAAACACCATATTATACAAGAAACCCACAGATCATAATGCACAGCCACATGCTTCCAGCTTCCATTGAGAAAACTAACAAGTATTATTTATCAGTAGAATCTATGCATTTGCTCTGAGATGCTCAACTGATGAAATTAAGCCAGGCTTTTGGGAGACTGAATTACCCAATCAAATCAGTAAGCAATCAATAAAGTGACATCAATTCCCAGGAAAGACATATTAAAAAAGAGCAAAAAAACCTAGAATAGGTCATTAGTTGTCACATTTCACAGTTAAAGCCATTCAAGCACATTATTAATATATAACCCATGCTACAATCCAAATGATACTGCACTTTCTCAGGCATTGAGTGACAGCCATTGCTTGCATATAAACAACCCCTAAAGTGAAATAGATTCTCAGAAAAACAATAAAACAACAATGTTAGGCATGGAACCAGAACCAGCAAAAAATCCAGATATCTAATTTATTCCCTAGATGCGTACTTTCATAGAATCATAGAGTGGAAGGGACATTATCATTATCATATCCACCCTACTCTACACTGCAAGATGCACTATATCAATTTTGTAAATGACTATCAAACCTCTATTTGAAAATCTCCAGTGAAAGGGAAGAAGTCCATGTAGTGACTTAGTCTATTGACTGGAATTCTTACCATCAAAATATTCTTTCTAATGTCCACATCCTTGAGGTTTCATCCTATTAGTCCTACCTTGTGGAGTTTATAAGTCTGAACCCTCCACAACACGACTTCCCTTTCTGGGTTCAAGACCCGAGCGCCATGTAATTGGATGAATCCCTGTTACCTGCCCCAGCTCCTGCCAACCTAAACAGTTTGAAAGCATGCAAATGCAAATAGATAAATAAGTATCACTTATTTGGTGAGAAGGTAACAGTGTTCTCAGCATAGAGTCATGCTGGCCACATGATCAAATGTCTTTGACAATGCTGGCTCCCTCAGCTAAGAAATAGAGATGAGCACCGCCACCCAAAGTCATACATGACTGGATAGAGGAAACTTTTACCTTTACCTATGACAGGATTCAACTTTAACTTATCAATGTGAAATTAAATTGCAGGTCGTTCTTACTAAGCCACAGAATACATGTAGGCCTCAAATAGGAATAAGGAGGCAACCCAAGTTGAGCAGAGACATACAAAATATTGTATAATTTCACATGAATCCAAAGTATTCCCTTAGTACAGGGATGCCCAAACCCCGGGCTTCACAAGCCATCGCTTGCACAAATAGAACTGCACTCACAAACATGCTCACCCGTTGCTCCTGCGGTACCATCTCCTCCCCCCACCCCACCGCTGCCAACTCACAAAGCCAGACAAGTTGGGGACCGCTGCCTTAGTTGCCCACTCAGGCTATTTCAATACCTGATCCCCATACTATAGCAGAATTTAATTTGGGAGGAAAAGTAGGGAGAGATATATTATTGGAAAGAATTGGAATAGACAAATTAGTAATTTCAATTTGCATGTGCACCTATTATTTATTTTTTATCATGCATTTATTTATTTATTTATTTATTATTTATCAATCAATCATATTTCTATGCCGCCCACTCTCCAAGGACTCTGGGCGACTTACACCAAAGACAGTATACTAAATAGCATATTGCCCCCAACAATCTGGGTCCTCGTTTTACCCACCTATTTATTTTTTATAAATAACTGAAAGTGATGAACATATCTAACACTCCTTCCTCCTCCTATTTTCCCACACCAACAACCTTGTGAGGTGGGTTGGGTTGAGAGAGAGTGACTGACCCAAAGTCACCCAGCTGGCTTCATGCCTAAAGCAAAACTACAACTCCCAGTCTTCCAGGTCCTAGCCTGATGCCTTAACTCAACCGGCTTAATACTTAGGAATTAATATGGTCAAAAATGGGATGCCACCAATGCTAAGAGACAAATCAACTAAAAGCATTATAAAACAGTTGATTACATACTGTACTGTACATCTAAAAGATTCTAAAAATCCAAAGTGTGTGTGTGTGTGTATTACAACTCCACACAATATTCCCCAGACACCTGTTGTGCCATGGATGCTACCGGAGTGGGAGGGAAGGCCCTTCAAAATTATTTGAAATCCAACTCGATACTATTGATATGTTAATAAAGGAACCATTCCAAATAGGGTGCTTTTCATTAAGAGACTTACACCTTACAATCAAAGGTTGCTCCCTCAATCACGGATTTCAGAAACGGTAGAAACTTCTCTTAAAAATTCTGCTCTTCTGTGCTGATGTTGGTGCATTTTGCTTCTGCAATCATTCTTGATCACACCCATTCCATCACATAACTTGTGAGACCAAAGGGGCAGCTGGCCACAACGTCACAATTCTGAACCTACCTATAGAAGCACATGTTTACTCACCTACCTGTAAAAGAACATATTTACTCACCTACCTATAGAAGCACAGGTTTACTCACCTACCTATAGAAGCACAGGTTTACTCACCTACCTATAGAAGCACAGGTTTACTCACCTACCTATAAGATGCATAGGTTTACTCACCTACCTATAGAAGAATGTTTACTCACCTACCTATAGAAGCACAGATGTACTCACCTACCTATAGAAGCACAGATTAACTCACCTACTTATAGCAGCACAGGTTTACTCACCTACCTATAGAAGCACAGGTTTACTCACCTACCTTTAAGATGCACAGGTTTACTCACTACGTATAAGATGGATAGGTTTACTCACCTACCTGTAAAAGCACAGGTTTACTCACCTACCTATAGAAGCAGATTTACTCACCTACCTATAGAAGCACGTTTACTCACCTACCTATAAGATGCACAGATTTACTCACCTACCTATAGAAGCACGTTTACTCACCTACCTATAAGATGCACAGATTTACTCACCTACCTATAGAAGCACAGATTTACTCACCTACCTATAGAACAGGTTTACTCACCTACCTATAGAAGCACAGATTTACTCACCTACCTATAGAAGCAGATTTACTCACCTACCTATAGAAGCACGTTTACTCACCTACCTATAAAATGCACAGATTTACTCACCTACCTATAGAAGCACATTTACTCACCTACCTATAAGATGCATAGGTTTACTCACCTACCTATAGAAGAATGTTTACTCACCTACCTATAGAAGCACAGATGTTTCACCTACCTATAGAAGCACAGATTTACTCACCTACTTATAGCAGCACAGGTTTACTCACCTACTATAGAAGCACAGGTTTACTCACCTACCTTTAAGATGCACAGGTTTACTCACCTACGTATAAGATGGATAGGTTTACTCACCTACCTGTAAAAGCACAGGTTTACTCACCTACCTATAGAAGCAGATTTACTCACCTACCTATAGAAGCACGTTTATTTACTCACTACCTATAGAAGCACAGATTTACTCACCTACCTATAGAAGCACGTTTACTCACCTACCTATAAGATGCATAGGTTTACTCACCTACCTATAGAAGCACAGATTTACTCACCTACCTATAGCAGCAGATTTACTCACCTACCTATAGAATCACAGATTAACTCACCTACCTATAGCAGCACAGATTTACTCACCTACCTATAAGATGCACAGCTTTACTCCCGAGCAAACACACAGAACACGACCCCACCTTTTACCGCCCTCCCCGCTCGCTCGACCATCCAAGGAGGGCGTTCAAATTCACCTCATCCGAGTCCACCCACAAACGCGAGATGGGATTCCTCCACGGGCTCCGATCAGCCGGACTCACCGCGCTTATTCTTGGTGCCGTGTTTGCGGGCCGCCAACAGCTCCTGTTCGATCTTCTCTTCCAGGAACTCCTGTTTTTTACTCAGCATGTCCTCGGTCTCTTTAAGCCTCTGGATGGCCTCTTGGGGAGAAGGGCCCTTCCCGCCGCCTTTCTCCCCCGGGCCGATCCCGAACAACTTCCCCAGCAGCCCCGACATGGCTGGACCTCGCGCGAGGAGAGGCACCGACCGACAACCCCAGCCCGGAGGAAGTAAGGAAAAGAGGGGACGGGAGGGAAGAGGCTCCCCCGAGGATGATGCTGGTTGCTCTGAGGAGGTGCAGAAGTGGACGTGGCGGCGAATGGGGATCCCTGCGGTCCCCCCAAACCGTCAACCGGGTTAGTTGGCCGCACAGGCCCAAGGCCCGACAGTGACCCCTCTCTTACGCCACCAGTCCTCGGCAGCGCATCAGCCCCAAGCGCCCCCACCCCACCCCCACCCCCACGACTGACTCACGGTCCGGAGTAAAACCGCCCACGATCCCATACGTCACTCGTAGAGCTATGGCAACAGCGGTAACCCCGCCCACCTCCGTCTTTTTCCCCCCACCCCTCACTCGGCTCAGTGGGTGTAAATAAGCAGCAAAGGCTGCCGGGAGTTGTAGTGTTGCTCGAAAAAAGGACGCTTATTGTATAAAATGTGCTTAGGAGCAGGGGTGGGCAACTGTGGCCCTTTTACAACCTGTGGACTTCAACTCCCAGAATTCCTGAGAAAGCCAAGCTGGCTCAGGAATTCTGGGAGTTGAAGTCCACAGGTCATAAAGGGGCCATATTTGCCCACCCCTGGCTTAGAGCAGTGTTTCTCAACCTTGGAAGCTTGAAGATGGGTGTTGCTCGAAAAAAGGACGGTTTTTGCATAAAATGTGCTTAGAGCAGGGGTGGGCAAATGTGGCCCTTTTATAACCTGTGAACTTCAACTCCCAGAATTCCTGAGACAGCCAAGCTGGCTCAGGAATTCTGGGAGTGGAAATCCACAGGTCATAAAGGGACCATATTTGCCCACCCCTGGCTTAGAGCAGTGTTTCTCAACCTTGGTAGCTTGAAGATGGGTAGACTTCAACTCCCAGAATCCCCCAGCACTGGCTGGGGGATTCTGGGAGTTGAAGTCCACCCATCTTCAAGCTACCAAGGTTGAGAAACACTGGCTTAGAGGTACAGTTTCATCAGTTCCTGAGTCGTCGTAATAGTTTCATCCATAAAAATAGTTGATTAGTAGCCTCATTTTTTATGTATACATTTTGAAACTCAATACACGCAGCAGCCAGATATCACAACGTGCTTCAAAGAGGGTTTTTTTTTAAAAAAAAAACCGGTGTTTGTTCAAAAGACTGACTTTTTTTATCCCCTGAGGCTTGAATACTATTTTAAAAAGAAAGAAAAGAAAACTGATGCTCTAGTCTTGATGCTTATGTCTTGGTGCCCTTGCTTGCTCTGCATCTTTTCTAGACTGTTTCATTGGTTTTAACGCAAGGGTTTCCAAACATGGTATCTTGCCCTTTTCATTCAACTATCACATGACTTAATATCTTATGGATTTTTAAAAATCTTTTAGCCTTCAATCAACAAGGGGCTAGTTTGTTGGTATGCTCTGATGTTCTGCCATCAACTCTGCTTCAGAGATCAAGATCAAGGCAAAATAGCCTGCTGATTTTAAATTATTTTGGCTGTGGTCTCTATATCTGTCTTTGTGCTGACTTTAGGCCATGAGTAGGTGAATATCAATCAAATCATGAGAAACTTGTCACTATTACAGACATTCAATTGTCTGTAATTTTGAATTTGATATCAAAACTATCACTGAAAAATAGTTATTGTAACATCATCCCTAATAACTGCAAGACTTGCAGACAGAAGTAGTTGTGAAAGAGAACAATGACCCCAGATGTTCTCTGCTGACTTCCTAGTGTCCAACTGACAAAGCTGCTTTCCTACAAATCCAATAGGCAGAGAGGTGTCATATCCATAGATTAAGTTGGCAATATGTAACCCACTGTTTTCCAGATGTTTTAATCAACTCTCACAATCACTAGTAGGTTGATTAGTGTTAAAATCTAAAACACATAGAAAACGCCAGCCTAAATTGTTTCCACAAGGCCAAACAACAGATTCACCTCATACAGAGCAAGCTTGAAATAACTCAGGAGCCTGTTCTTTTCAGTGTGAGGAGAAGGAAAAACTTGATGCAAAGTGGAATTGGTTCTTTTCTTCTCAGGTTGGTTAAGGGGAATGATACAAAGGATCAAGTACTGAAATACTCATTGTATTTTAAAATGTTTTAAACAATAATGAATTTTTAAAACATTTTATAAAAGATTGCATTTTTTCAATTCAGAAAAAAACTGGAAGTGACTTTCGAGGTCTTCTAGTCCAATACCCTGCTCAAGCAGGAGACTCTACACCATTTCAGACAAGTGGTTGTCCAGTCTCTTCTAAAAAACTTCCAGTGATGAAGCACCCACAACGTCTTATGGCAATCAGTTCCACTGGTTAATTGTCCTCACTGTTAGAAAGTTTCTCCTCTATTCCAGGTTGCTTCTCTCCTAAATTAGTTTCCATCCATTGTTTCCTGTCCTGCCGTCTGGTGCTTTTGAAAAGAAGTTGACCCACTCTTCTTTGTGGCAGTCCCTCAAATATTGGAAGTACTATCATGTCGCCCTTAGTCCTTCTTTCTTTCTTTCTTTCTTTCTTTCTTTCTTTCTTTCTTTCTTTCTTTCTTTCTTTCTATTTTATTTTATTTTATTTTATTTTATTTATTTTATTTATTAAATTTTTATACTGCCCTTCTCCCGAAGGACTCAGGGCGGTGTACAGTCATATTAAAACAACATATACCCACACAATTTAAAAACAATTTAAAATATATTAAAAATTTGGCCCTTATATTAAAAACTACAAACACCCAATTTAAAATTCATTTTCTAAGCCAGCCTGGCCTGTCGAAACAGACTAGATTAGTCATACCCCAATCTCGAAACCGTTCTTTATATGTTTTAGTCTCCAGGTCTTTAACCATTTTAGTTGCTCTTCTCTGCACTTTTTCCAAAATTTCAACATCTTTTTTGTAATGTGGTGACTAAAACTGGATGCAGTATTCCAGGTGTAGTTTTAGTAAGGTTTCATAAAGTGGTACTAATACTTCAGGTGATTTTGATTCTATGTTTATATCACCAAGAATATATTAGCTTTTTTGGCTGCTGCTGCACTGTCAGCTTCTGTTTAAGTGATTGGCCACTAGGACTCCAAATTACTGTTTTTGAGTCAGATTTTGCCTGATCTTTACTTGTACCTTTGGTTTTTCCTACCTAAAGTATGAACCTTGCTTTTCTCCGCATTAAATTTCATTTTGTTGGATAGGGCCCATGTTCAAGTCTGTGAAAATCTTTTTGGATTCTGTGCTTGTCTTCTGGGGTTTTGGCTATTCCTGCCAGTTTAGTGTCATATGCAAATTTGAAGAGTTCCCTTTCTATTCCCTCAAAGTCATTTATGAAGATATTGAGAACACTGGGCCTAAGACAGAACCTTGTGGTGCCTCATTGCTAATAAGAACTACTTATCGAGTATGGTTCATCAGCCAGTTACAAATCCATCTGGTGGTGATACTGTCTATGCCACATTTTTCTCACTTACCAAGAAGTAGATTGTGGTGTACTTTGTTGAATGCCTTACTAAAGTCTAAGTATACTGTGTCCACAGCATTTCACCGATCTACTAATTTAGTCATTTTGTCAAAGAATGAAATAAGATTGGTTTGGCATGATCTGTTTTTAACAAAGCTGTGCTTGTTTCTAGTTATAACTATTTATTTGAAGATGTTCGTAGATCTGTTTTTTGATTAACTTTTACAGTATCTTTTCATGTATTGATGCTAGGTTGATTGATCTGTAGTTTCCTGGGTCTGTTTTTTTCTCTCTCCTTTTTTGAAGATAGGAACCACATCAGCCCTTTTCCAATCCTCAGGTACTTCCCCGGTACTCCAGGATTTTTGAAAGATATGATAAAGTCTGAGATAACATCTGCCAGCTCCTTCAGAATCTGGGATGTAATCCGTCAGGTCCCAGTGAATTATATTCATCAAGATCAGACAGGTGTTCTCTTACCATTTTCTTGCTTATTTTAATTTTTATTTCTAGTCTGTCTGTTACTGTTATATTTTTGGTAGGTTGGGCTATAGTTACTTTTTGGGTGAAGAGTGGTGCAAAGAATGAGTTAACTCATTAATAACAGATTCAGATTGGGCATAATCTGATACCAATAATAATTTAGGTTGAATGTGTTTGGTCTTCAACCACCATTTTGGGGTGACATTAACCTGTAGATCTTGTGCTGATGGCTTAAATGTTTCACTTGATTTTGGATCGCTTGTTCTTCCCAATCTCATTTTTGTAATACTGAATCTGGAGAATTCAAAAGGATACATACTCTTTTGGATCATTTTGGTCAGTCCTAATAACACTATTGCCAACTATGGATATTAAAACAGTGAGGAGGATTGGAGCATCTTTCCAATAACAAGAAGTAGCTGAGACTTGGGGGCAGGGGATTAATACAGCACATGATGGAAGGCAATTGTCTACAATATGGAGAAAACCGAGAATATTCTAATAGCGCTTTCAAAGGACAGGAAGACTTAAGGAATGGATTTGCAACCAATTTCAGAGAAACAGGTGTAATGCTTCTGCCAACACAAAATTGCCTCAGGACATACTGATCATTGCTAGTTTACAGTTTTAATTCCAAGAGATTGTATCTCTGTATATTTTTTGGTCAGGTGTTGCAGGCACCAATAACGGGAGATTTACTCTTAATATTTACTTATGGTGATGAGCGGCTATCCTACCATGACTAAGGATTGAAAATGCCATTTCAAAAAAACCTAATCTAAAAAAAGAACACTCCATGGCCAGGCAGACTAGCCTTGATTTATACACATCACTTCATCAAAAGGCAACTGCAGGCAACAGGACGTAGTAACAACAAAATTATAATGTTATTTTTGGTAACAAGGTAATTGAGAAAAATATATTTAGTAATCCCGCCCCCTCAGCAAATGTTACTCAACTGTACCGGGGAGGGGGGAAACCTTAGAAAAATGTTTTTCTTAAAGGAAGCCCAAGGAACTATACAACTGACAAGAATTATGCAATATCTGAAAAACTGTAATGCTGAAATAGAGATAATTTTATTCTGTGATATAATGAATTTTACTGAGAAAAACGTTGACATAGGCTTATCACCTGTGCTGGAAGTACAACCTTGGTTTTTTGAGAAATCTAGAGGCAAATTACTGCAGCTAAAACTTTTGAGACCACATAGGCAACTTATATCACGTCTCTGTATTTTCTTCACAGTCCTTGTGCAAACAGCAATGGGCGTATGGAAGTCAGATCAATGGAGATGCCTAATGAAGATGCCAGCCCCTTATGTTCTTGGTATTCTAATGAGCAATAATTGAAAATAAGGATTCACTTTCAACAGACGGATATGGTACACTCTTGAAATGTGAGTTGTAAACAATGTGAAACAAGTATTGGGTGTTAGGTCTGCATATGCATGAAACTCAAGAGGTTGCAATTCTATGTATCTTTAAATGGAACTATAGTATTCTACTAAATTAGAGGGGCTTACATATGAGTATATTGATGTAAGCTGGACCCACACATCACACTAAATTGTGTACAATATCATAGATTTTTTTCCTTAGTGTGTTGTGTTACCTAGCTAGTTGGGACCACCAACTTGGTCATTATGTAAAGTTGTCACTAAATGAAAAATCTGCAATTGTACTTATAATTTTATACAGGACAATGCAAACCAACTATAATGGCAAATACTGACTGATTGACTGACTGACTAAAGTTTGTAAATATGGGCAACGGTCCCAAAGTTACCTTTTCAGTACTATTGTAACTGCGAACAGTCATTGACTCAGGCAGTCACTAATCAAGGACTACCTTTAGTCTGACACATTACTTAGACAAACCAGTTTAGTACTTTAGTTAAAAACTGTGCAAAACTGTGTTTCAGAATGCATACAAGTGTGCATGAAGCACCTATTTTTGAATAATTAAAGTGAATGTGTGTTTTCCACAACATAGGTTTCTCTGAAAACTGCTCCCAACTGTCCCCACACATGTGGAATATATGTACACATACATAGAAACAGCTAGGAGTCACACTAATGCCTTTATGCAGATTGAAAAAGCTGCAGCTGCTTAAATAAGCCTTCATACATGCCCATGGTTTTGAGTTACCTCTCTTGAAGTCAAATCAAGTTCTTTCATTTCCTATGGATATAACAGGAACTCTAGAATTTCAGATAAAAAGAAGTACACGAAAGGCCAAAAATTCTGACTCAAAGATTTAACAATCTGTAGTGTCACAGAATGCATGTTTTCCAGAAGCTTGTGGACCATACACTCAAGAACAATTGCAATCGGATAGCAGGACATCTTGGGAAAAAAATAACATAACATCAGCACAAGTAATTCATTGGTACTAATATAATTCATTGATTAAATTAATATCATCCATACTTATTTCAATCTGGTCTTTAATAAACCCGAAGCAACTACTTGCTCAGGTCCAAGAAGATGGTCCCCTTCACCAGTTTCCCTCTATCAAATAAGCTACAAGATCAAGCTACAATGCTCCACAAGCGCATTGTCACTGAGCCTACTGTTGAAGTACCTTAGAGTTCCGTTTCTCAACCTCAGCAACGTGTGGATTTCAACTCCCAGAATTCCCGTCAGCATGAGGTTGAGAAAAACCGCCTTAGAAAGCTCTCTTCTTTAATGTAATGAATAACTGTGGTGTTACAAACGGATGGAAAAGAGAATGAGCACCATTACAGTACGTGCTGGTCTTTCCTCCCTTTTGTCCCCTTTCCCAGTTCTTTCTTAGCAGGTGCAAATTTAGCACCCCTCAACTCTTGAAAGAGTCACATTTTTCTTTGAAATCCAGATTCCTGTGATATTCTCCCATTTCAAAATCATATGTTCAGATGTATTTCCTTCCAAAGCTGCTGTTTATTATCAGCAAATCTGAGAAAGTTTTTTTGGGGGGGGAGGCTCCAGCTTTGTCTACTGTTTGTAAATTTCCCCATTTATATATATACCCTGAGAAAAGGAAATGGTAAAAAAAATACTTTTATGAATACGTCTGTGAACTTTTCAAAGGATCATGTTATGAATAAACCTTCATCTTGAAAGTGCAACGTAGGGTTTAGGATAGAACCATAAATGTGGTCCTAGGAATGCACAGGGGAGCAAGTAACATGGGTGATGGCATCATTATGGAAATTTCAAGTACATAATATTTGCACAATAACATTTTCTTGCACATTTTGTCATTTTGGTGTCATTACCATTTGCTGTAAGTGCTCCATAATGAAACAATAAAATTAAATCAAGAAATGTGAAAAAAATGTTGCGGTGATCTAGATTCAGAGTTCAAGAACTTGAAAGAATATTTAAGCACCGGATATCTTTAAATAAAAAGAATATAAAACTATCATCTGTTTTTAACAGCTTCTTCAAATGAATTCATCCAGATAAGGAGAGGAATGACTTCACTTTGTAACATGTTTCTTTAAAAGAATGCTGTTCTCTGCATTGGTGAAGCCACACATTTATACACATACACCACCATTCATTTCTCACTCTCTGCAGCAGTTCTTTTGTATCAGTAAACACAGGAACTTTTCCCTCCTACTAAATGGACGCAGCATAGCATTTGTCAATTAGTCAGTAGTGTGGATGTAAACAGGGACTGCCAGCATGGCACATGGACTCTCAGAGCCAGGTTGCAATTCTGTCAGAGCAAGGTTGGGTGAAATGCCAGAATGCTGGCCAGAGTTGCCAGTGTCTGAATTTGCTGTTGATCTGCCAACCACAATGGAGAGAACAGTGTCAGGTTCAGAAAATTGTTCTTTATTGGGACCACTTTTTTGAAGGCTCTCTCCACCTGTAGTGTCTTTGAGTTCCGTGAAAGTCAACTGAGCTGAAAGAGGAAGTCCCATTTTCCGCCCACGTGCCCCCCACTTCTTCTGGGATTTTCTGACTGGTAATTCTTTATCCTTTGATGAGTTCATCCTACATTTGTGGTCCTTCATGTACTTCTGGCGAGTAAAGCCTTTGCTACACGTAGGGCAACGGTACTTATAGTTGCCAGTGTGAGAACGCTGATGTTCCATCATATGAGCTCGCCGGCTGAAGGCTTTGTTACAATACTGGCACTTGTGGATCTTCATACCTAAAAAGAGAGAATGCAATAAACAGCTTAGATATAAAAAGTTTATGTAGGCCTCATCTAAAAACTAAATTAATTAATAGTTTTGTGGATGAAGTGAGATTTGAACCTAAAACTTTATGAAACGCTTTCTTAGTGACTCTACATCAATTCTATATAATTATACTAGTGATATAAACCATATTTTGTATAAGAAACCATGAAAACTCAGCTACACAATAGATATTTATTGAGGGTTTTGCTACCGTATTGTTGGCTTTTGGGAATAGATTCCGGCAGAACAATTCAATGTGGAATGGGTTAATTCAGTCCCAATGGTAGCTAAAATTAGATATTTTGATTCAAAGCTCAATAAATTGTTAGGGTGGAGTTGAATTGCTTCTACACTGAAGTTAAGAAACAAAATCTAAATGTTTTATTAACATTCAATACATTAATTATAATTATTTCCAGTACTGATCCAAATCAAAGCAATAATTCCACATACCTGAATGGGATAAAATATGAGCTTTCAGCTTGTCTGGTCTATTGAACTCTTTACTGCAGCCTGTGTGATTTCTGAATAACAAGATAAAAATAAGCAATGCAGAGATGAACTTCTAAGATAATTTATTTATTAAAATATCTGTATGACTATCCTTCTTTGAACAGATAATTCTGTTTCACTAACACAATGATAGTCATCTTACATAAGCAAGTTACAAGTTTAAATTATCAAACTTTCCTATAGCAAGAAGTATTGAGTCCTTGGTGTTTTCTGAGCTTGGTTGTTTCCTTGCATACATTTTATTTTCATGCTATGTAACATCATCGTGAGATTTGCTGGTTGTTTTATATATACAGATAGTTTTTGTTTAGCAACCACAATTGTAACTGGCAACTCAGTCATTCAATGATTGCTAATTGAAATCATGACTCTGCTTATGATCTTACTTCAGCTTTATTTTGCTTTACAGACCTCCAAAGGTCATAATTGTGAGGACTGGTTCTAAAGTTATTTTTTCATCACCATCATAACTGCGAATGATTGTTAAACAAGGGCTTTATATAGTAGCTTGCTACTTTCCCTCACAATGACAATGTTACCCAATCTGGTACAGAAAGAGAGCACAACAACCCTACAGTTCTACCCTGAGTTACTTATATTCTCTTCTGCTGCAAGAATGAAGTCCCTACACAGTGATAGAAAAAAAATTGTTGTTTCTCCTTCACAATGTTTTTGAAAATTACCCTTTAAAAAAACAGCAAAACAACAAAAAAGAACTGCATATTGATCTTTAATTAAAGAGGCAGAAAGAATAAAAGACTATCACAGTGAACAATCTACTATACTTTTGTTCTCCAGAAGACACACTTTTTACCCCAAAAGTCTTTTGCGGTCCTTTGGTGAATAGCAGCCAGGCCGCCGCAGCGGGATTCTCTTACAGTGCTAAACCCCGCCACTTCCGTCTTTGTCATTGCCTGCCTCTTCTGTCACTTTTCCGCAGTGCAAGAGTCAATGGGCAGAGCTGGCACATGAGAGGACACCTATCTCTGGTCCTCTCAGGCTGCGCCTCCTGCCCTCACTACACTGCTGCTCCAAATTTTTTTGCTTGTTTTCCTCCTCTAAACCTATGTGAGTCTTATGGTCCGGTGCATCTATGGAACAAAAAATATGATACTTCCAAGCGAGGTTTTCTCAGCTTTGTCTTCCTTTCATTTCAAAACTGGTTTTCAGTGTAATAACTCAATGTGTGACCAGAGCTTTTTTAAATAAGTAACCTTGGTACAAAACACTTAACCCTTCTGTACCCAAACTATGCACAGATGTATCATGGGATACTTCACTATTTAATAAATGGAGCTGTTAGTGAGAATGTCACAGCACACAAATTGGAAACCCCTGGGGCTGCTATGAACTGAGAAAGTTTGGAAACTTCTGATTTAGCCAACCTCAGAGTCAATAAAAATAAGACAATTCCATCTCCTTTATATGCATTTGTTCAAAAAGCTGCTAATTATTTGCATCATCTTATTTTCCAATACCTAAGCAATCCACTGTTGTCTATGAAACTAGTCCCAAATTTCGCTTTTCATCCAAGAAGCTTCTTTAGCTGAGAAGCGAAACATCTTCCAAGAAAAACCAGAAAATCCAGTTGCCTCTTGAATAAATACCTTTGGTACCATGACCTGAATGACTGAGAATCTTCATAGACTCTTAAGATAGTGTTGCTCTGGGCCCTCTGATACTTACGAGAATGGACATTTGTATTTCTTGAAAGGCTCATGGATCAGCATATGCCGTTTGAGTTTATCTTTCCTGTTAAAGGCTGAGTCACACACTGAACACTTAAAAGGTTTTTCACCTGGACAGGAAAGAGATATGAATTAGCAACAAAGATATACATGGGTTTGGTTAAAAAATTCTAATAAGTCATTTTCTATTCCTGGGTTACAGAAACATGATTAAACAGAATTGGCATTAGTTCCCTAAGACCTTTCTTGTTTCTGATAATGTATTGCTGTCAGTAGATGCGTGTGTGTGTGTGTGTGTGTGTGTGTGTATGTATATATATATGTATATATATATATGTATATATATATATATATTCAAATGGTTCCAATCAAAGTAGTGATCTATCAGACAGAAATTGTTAAGTGAACACAATTTTTAAAATAAGGAGGCAAAACCCAACACATGTTAAGGTATCAGCCGCCACTGAAGTTGATGACAGGAGGATCTTAGAACATGAATAGGTTCAACAGATTGGAAACCAATTTCTGCCATTTCTTACCTGAATGAATGTGTGCGTGTAATTTGAGGTAGTGTTCTCGGCGGAAGAACTTTTTGCAGATCTGGCACTTAAATTTGCCTCCTCCTCCATGTGTAGGGAGATGCCTTCGCAAGTACCTCTCACAGGGAAACACCTGTAAAAAGAAGGCAATGCCATTAAAACTCTGGTTAAGATCAAGGGCATTTAAAAGGGTAGTAATATCAGTCAGACCAGGAGGGGGCACTATTTTGTGGCTACAGTTTGCTCTTAATATTTTTTGAGAAACTGACCCTGAAAAGTGAATGGGAAGGTCATATCTCAAATGTGGACACCGTCGAATTTTAGAAAGTTTCACGACTGTCTTTACTTTTCAACATGGAAAGCTTTATTTTAGGGGCTTATTTTACAGTTTTCATTTATTATTTGGCTCAAGGAATAGACACTAATTGACAGCAGAATGCCTTAATCACTTTTCATCAGTTATGATTAGATCAGAGGTCTTCAAACTTGGCAGCTTTAAGATTTGTAGATTTCAACTCTCAGAATTCTGGGAGTTAAAGTCCACCAGTCTTAAAGCTGCCAAGTTTGAAGACCTCTGGGTTAGATGGACACTCTGAGGCCCTCAAGGGCTCTTTTTTGTCCAGGGTCTACAGATTACCTACTCTTTCCCTAAGGAAATGGGTATGTGTAACAAATCTATACAGTAAAATTCTAAAGTAGATGAGACAAAGACTTCACTAACATAAATCAAGTGAGCTTTTTTAAAAAAAATCCTACAAGGAATAGTTCCTGCGTCAGGGAATGAGCCACAGGACAGAAAGTATATTGTGCATGGAAGAAGATAATTGTGAGAACTCAGGTGCTGGCACTCCAGTATCATCTTCTGCAGTACAGATAGCACAATGCAACTGGATGTAAGTGTGCATCCACTATACAAAAGTGTGACTACATAAGCAACCTTGGGCAAGACTCCATTTTCTCATTCTAAAGCCTGAGAAACAAACTATGAAACAAACATGAAAGAACAAAAGGGACAACACTTTGCTATAGTAGGGTGATTAGTAGGGATAGAATCGCTTATTTCTCCAGAAAGTCAATTTACTGTTAAGATATCTGCCTACCTTCTGACAATGAGGACAGGGGAAGTTGTGTGTTGCTGTCTGTAAGTGATGCTCCAGGGCTTCTGGTGTGGAATATTTATTTACACATTTGACACATCTAAAGAAAGAAAGAGTGCATTAGTATGGTTGAAGTCTGCAGGATAGTTATAGTTTCCTTATCCATATGCATTTGCAAAAAGCATTGTCAAAGAGGAAAACAGAGATCCTTGAAAGAAATAAAGGCTTAAAATAAATAAGTAATTGCCTAAAGTCTGGGTTCAAAATTGCCAGATTTACCAGCAAAAGAATGAAAGTTTATGGAATGGATTAAAAACTTATTCATCTTATATCTCTGGTATGACATAAATAGGAAAACTCTACATCAGTATCTATGAAATATATTTTCTTAACTCTAGCAGGTTATTATGCTCTCACAGTGGAGTTTGATTTTGTTACTTTTTTTAAAGGAAAATACCAAATCATTCAACAGCAAATCCACCACACTGACTGCTCTTCCAGATGCAGTTTAAATGATTGTCTGATATATTAATAACATCAAGTTTGAATTACATCATTTTTCATTCTTTTCATTCATTTTTTTTCTGCCAAACAGATTAGAAATATTACTATTTGCAGTGCTACCCTACTTGTAAACTGCCATGTCCTTCTTGGGGCTGTGTTGAGGGAGCAAGTTGTGGGAATACTGATGGACACCCAATTCATACAGAGAAGGATAATCCTTGCTGCAGAGGTGGCAGCGATAGCTCAGCTCTTCCTGGTGGTTCTTGATATGCTCTAAGAAAGAGTCCAGCTTTTGAAATGTCTGGGCACAACTTTTCACAACGCATTTGTACACCTGCACAGTAATGGTAAGAAAAAAGAATTTAAATCAGCATTATGCTGTGCCACCAAAAGCAAACAAACTGTACTGTATTCTCAACATTAAATGTATAAATGTAATTGAAGGAGATTGATGTACCCGCTCACAGGGAAAGCTATGTATTATGTCCCTAGACTATGAATTACTCTTAACTTAAGAGCCTTGATAGTACAGGGGTTTAGTGCACCCTGTAATTAACACAGCTGCCTGCAATTTCTGCTGGTTCGAATCTCTCCAAGGCTCAAGGTTGACTCAGCCTTCCATCCTTTCTAAGGTAGGTGAAATGAGGACCCAGTTTGTGGGGGCAATAAGCTGACTTTGTATAAAAAACATACAAAAGAATGAAGGCTATTGCTTAACGCATTGTAAGCCGCCCTGAGTCTCCGGAGAAGGGCGGCATATAAATCAAATTAAAAAAAAAAAAAAAAAACTTCTCTTCTTCCAGTCAGCCTCTCTTGAAAGTCAGCAATGAACCATTCAATTCTGCCTTATGGAGAAAAATACAAAGCTATTTTCCTGCGGAGGTTACATATTATGTCAGTGCATGAGATTTGCCTCTAGATTTGCCTCCTGCCAATAAGGAACCTAGGACGGTGCCTGATACGGGCTGATACCATCTAGCTTAGAATAGTTTCTACACTAGCAATGGCTCTCTAGAATTTTGAGAAGAATTTTTGTTTTCTATCTTCTTAGAAATTACAGGAATGAAAACAGGAATGTCCTGCAATCAAAGCATAGGCTCTGAACAATGAGTTACTGAATATGCCCAGAATAATAATTCATGCACACAAAAATGGAATTGTATGGTTTTTACACAGTGAAAAAAAATATGAAAGTAGTGTAACTGCAAAATGTATTTCAACTATCAGACATCTGTGATTTAGATTCCGTGGAATTGCTTGTGTTGTTATCTAGAATACATTTTGTTATCTAGTCAACACACATTTCTCACGCTAAATTAAAATATGTGTAGGAGGAAATTCCTATGCTGGATCAAAAGAACAATATGTCAAGAATACAGTTTGCATATGTATAAATTACAATTTCCATACCTACCATCAAAGAGCCTTTGTCAATCGGTGAGTAGCCAATTAAATTAAACAGAACATTACTCTGTCATAGAGCATAATTTTATGTTTTAAACTGTACAGGCTAAAGATAAAATAGTTGGCAAAAGAGCCAACATTTCACATGTGAGTTTTGAAACCTATATAGATTGTGCAAATTTGGAAGTACGCATGCATTGGTCTGCAGCTCATGGAAAAGTGGTAAAAAGCTAGGGATGACAGAATGAAGCCATCTCATGATAAACTATCTACCTGTTCATGTTTATGCTGAGTCATGTGTGATTTCAGCTGGAAATATGTATTGAATTTGCTGGGACAGAACTGGCACTGATAAGAACTGTCTATCAAGACCACTTGCTTGGCTTCCAACTTTGCCGCGTCATGTTCTTCCCCAGGAGGCAGGGCTTGAGGCTGTGGAGGGCTGCTTCTTGGAGCCTGGCTTAAGCCTAAAGGAAAAAAAAAAACACAGAACACAGAAATACTACTTTTAGTTTCAAGCATTTCAAGGGAAATAAGCCTTCCGAAAAGATTACAAGCAAGATCCGCAAAACAGAATTAATATTCATCATTTTTCCAAGATGCAAAACTGTGGAAATTAGATTTCCTTCTTTGTGTGTCTTTGTTTTTCATTCTTTATTATGACCGAGGATAAAGCCTATGCTCAATTTCACTTCAAAGTCAGAAGAACTCCTGCCACCAATGTTACATATTATCTCCAGTATTGGAAGGATATGCTTGACAATGGCAGCTGCTAAAGAACACTAGCTAAGGACTTTACCGTACTTGTGAACTCCTTTCAGGTGGCCCACTAATATCTATTTCATCACTGTGGGAATAAATTAGGAACCGAATGATAGGATTTTAAAGTGCTCCTCTCATATTCTCAAGCAATGAACAGCTTAGTCTTGGTGAAGTAATAGACTTGTTATGTAGGCAGAGAAGACTAAAGTAGAACAAATATTCTCTACCACATAAGATTCATTCTGCACTGTCAGGCTTGTTTTGTTATGTACGTTCCAACTTTTGCCTCGATGAGCCCAATTGATCCCTACCAATCTTCTCATTGACTATCAACCAGTTGGTATGTAGAACCCAATAAACAATCTTAGCCCAAGCAGTTACATTCACACAATATGAAAAAGGCTTGATATGCATGGATCATTGACCATAATTTTTTATGATCATCCAGAGCCAACAGTAGATATGTTTAGGAAGTTAGTGATACCAAACACTAGATGCACAGCTTCTGTTTCAGGAATACATCTCATGTGGGCTTTCCAATCTACTGCTCTCTAGACGCCAATTCTCATAATTATTACCCAACATCATCTTCAATTGGAGAAGTCCTGTCTAATGCAAAGCAATTATATCTACAGGTTTATTCAAATATTCTCTTCCTGAGGATAGATGATAGATTTTCAGTATACATCTAATTTTAAGTTTAGTCCATAGAAGGGGAAAATCAGTATTACAGGTTCCGCAAGCGAAGAAAAAGTTTGAAAAAGGATTAAGAATTACAAGAGTATGAAACAATATTAAACGAAGGACTATGACTGAGCAAGATCATAACAGCTGTGTATTTGATTTATAGATTCATGTGCTAATACATACTTAAACCACCAGTACACCATAATTATTTTTCTAACCCTTCCATCTATAAATCTATAAAACAGAATAGTAGAAGCACTATTATTCAGAAGTTTGATGAAGCAGGTCCATGTGATTGGCCAAGCAGTTAATTATGCACCTGCATTTTCCTCATCCTCCTGCTGGTTGGGGTTGAGTTGCATGACTTGCACAGTGACAGAGCTCCGAGAGATGGTACACCCAATTCCTGGTGGCCACACCTTATGTGTCTGCATGTGCTTCTTCACATTGGATTTTTGCGCAAACGCTCGACCACACACAATGCACTGGAATGGCTTCTCTCCGGTATGACTGAAGGAAAAATAGACACTACATCAGAGAACAGGAATCATAATATCTCAATAGAGGGGGAAATATATTACTAGTGCATTCAACTACAATTTTCCCTGTTGTGGCTTTGTCTTTTTTTAGGATGTTTCCTCTCTCAGCATTCAAGGAGGATACACAATCTTCTAAGTGAGCAAATTAATTCACCATTTATGTATTTCACTTACTTTAACTTCCTCTATCCTTTTAATACTGCACTTTTTCCAGCCAGCTCATAACTACAATTAAGTTGCATTCCAAATTGCATGTAGATAGGAATTTACATGATTGGAAAGCTCCTTCACAAGCAACTTTTCTTACACATAAAAACTGTGCCCCTTCAGGAAGAACAGATAAAAGACATTGTTTTGAGATGTATTTTTCCATGTGACAAGAATCTGCCTGGGGAAACATGAAATCATACAAACGCTTATCTGTAGCCTAAAATGGTACAACTCTGTATTTCTCTCTCTCCTATTGTAGTTTAGTGTTATGGGTCAATCAGGCCATAATGATTTATCCAATAATAATAAAACAAATTCTGTCTTAATAATACTTTTGTTATCACTTGAGGCTCTGGAAGACCTGGTGGTTCAGCAATCAGGACCAAGATTAAATTTCACACATACACCATACAGAGACCAGTGTTCAACATTTGGGGGATCACACTGACCAAGCAGAGAGATGGCTTTATTTTCCATAGCTCTTGCCAGCAAGTAAGAATGGCTCCAATTGTTGCTCAGAATATCCAATCAAGTCCTTGGCCTGTCCAAATAGACACTGCTTCTGTCCGATTTTGGAAGCTCAACACTACCTCCTGATATGTTGCTGCAGATCAAAATTCTTGGTGAAGGCTTTATCACAGTATGTACATTTCAGTTTTGGTGACTTGGGCTTTCCTGAAAAGCAAACAGCAAAAAACAAGCATGAATTTATGTCGAAAAGGCCATCCTGCTATATGGATTCTTGCTTGTCCACTGCCCACCAAACTAGAATAAAGTTTTGAGGAATGGAAGCACAGCTGGGATTTTGAGTATATTGCCTTATGGGAAGAATAGAATGAAAGTAGTGGAAAATCCAATGAAATGACTTTATGTGGGAGGAATGTAAAACCACTATTTGCATTTTCTGTTATGGAACTTTCTGCTTTACATCTCGTGCTTACACCACATTAATTCAGATTGCATTAATCTTGGCAAGGGAAAGAGCTGCAGCATTGGCTTCTCCTTCCCACGCTGGATTTTTCATATTTTCTGATGTCATGGGAAGGAATGGCACTGCAACATTTCCTACAACATCAGAACAATAACTCGGCTTTCATGGGTTATAATGTTGTAGTGATCCATATTAGTGGATTACAATCAACACATTTGGTTTCCTGAAAATTGGTTCAGTTAATGCTGAACCAATATTCCAATAATGTGCTATACAAAATGACAATGAAAAACATAAATTTCATGAGGTTTAAATGTGATTTCCTAGGTACAGGACACAGATTTCTACTTTGTAAATATATAGCAACATATATTCAATCTGATTTGTTAATCAAAAAGAAAAACTAAAACCCAGTCCTAAAAATAACCTGAATGTAAAAACAAAATGAGCCCATTCAACCATATGGCTGTTAGTTCCTTCTTTATAATGAGAATAATGAATTCTCAGGATTCTAATAACCAGTATTTGGGTTATCTGCCCTTCCAGAGGTTTACAGATGACATGTCTATCATCCTCGATTATTATTGGCCATGTTGGCTTTGGGGTACAAGAATCACAGTCCAGGACTATATGGAGGGGTATAGATTTTCCTTTACATCCAAGTCTTCCAGTGTCATGGACTCCACATTCTGTCTTACTTAAATGTAATTAGTTTACAGCAAGAATGAGTAGCAAGAAGACATACCTTCAAGCAAATTATTGTCTGGTTTGGAACGACGGTTCTTGGAAGCAGAATCAAAATTGGTCAGATTTCCTCCACATGTATTATTCAAGGAAGCAGCAGTATTAGCATTTTTAGACTTAAAGCTTTGTTTGCTTGGACTATATACTGGAGGGGAAGGATACACTGGGTTTTCCACACATTGGCTGGGCACCTAAAACAGAAATCAGTGATAACACATCTGACACAAAAATATAAATAATTCAAAGTTCCATCATTTTTGACAACCTTGACTTTCCAACCATCACACAGAAGAGAAATAGGCTAGCTTGATTTCTATTGTCAGCTCAAAGTTTGGAAATGGGAAGCATAGGTTCTTTTTTTGTTGTTGTTGTAAATATTTTTTATTTATTTTTTCAAATTTAAACATAAAAACATAACTTTCAAGAACAAAAATTTCGATCCGGTCATAGATGGTTACCACGCTTACATTCCTTTCACAAGCTCAATTCACAATTTCCATTACATCTTTTATAAATAAACAAAAAAAGAAAAAAAAGAAGATAAAAAAGAAATTCAAAACTTAAGAAAAAGCCAATTTTACCTCAAATTTAACATTTTCATCTATATAAATCCATTATATCTATCCAAAATTAGTTTCAAATTCACTTTCACTCATTTTTACATCTGCATAACAATTCTAAACATATCTTTATTCTTCTTTACCTTATATCTTATACAAGTCATATCAAAATAATTTTTACAATATTCTAACCTCTTGTTAAGTGTTTACCTTACAATTTTATCACCATTTATTCTTAGTTTATTCTTAGTTATACCACTCCATTTTTATTTATATTTTATAAAACAACATTTTGACTAATTTTAATCCTTTGTCCCTTATCCTCAAATCAGTTTACCTTAGTTTTTTTTTCTCCCAATTTACATATTACACAGATTTCTCACAAAGGCATATTTTATTTACTCCAATTTCTAATATATTTTCCACTATATCTCCCTCTAATATTTAACTATCTTCCAGCTTATTCTATTTGATTAATTCTCAGCTTAATCCCCTCCAAAACACCAACTAATTTAGTTGATTTCAGAATAGTTCCTCAATCTCCTCCAACTCTCCTCCTATTTGTTTGGCTGTTTCCAACATTTTATGGGCTGATTTCCAACATAGTCTCCTCCAACTCTCCTCCTATTTGTTTGGCTGTTTCCAGCATTTTGAATTAATTTCCAACATATTTCCACCGAGTCTCAAACTCTTATCTAGTTGGTATCCATCCCACACATTTTAACTGTAATATAATTATCTATTATATATCATTTTTCCATCCTGCTCTTTCAATTTAAATCTCAGTATATTTCATAATGGTCATCATTTCCAACTTGTATTACCTTAATTCAAGACTAATCAATAGCATCTGTGTATCTTGTATTTTGTTCAATCAATCCTTATTCATCAGTTTAACATTTGTTTGCAAATTAAAATTAAAACGTATTACATCAAACAGTACATTTTCTTAAAATTTTCCTGCCTCAAAATATATTCTTCTTTATTATTTTTATCCCCTTGATATCATCCACTATTTTAATAGACACCTCTTATTTTCTATTTTTATTATTTCACAACCCTTCCTGTTTTTATCCAAAAATCATACATACCTAGGTTTTTAAAGTTTATCATATATACATAGGCTTTTAAACTTTACATTTCAGTTAGTCACATTAAATTTATCCACTTTAATTCTTCCTTTTCTTCCTTTTCCTCTCTGTCCAAAGTGCTCTATTTCAAAGTTCATCAGTTCAAAGTAAAGAATTTCTGTATGTCCCTTTAAAACTTTTAAAATGTCTGTTCCAGGCGTAGTGCATCAGCTTCCTGTCTTTGTTAACTATGCCACACCTAGTTTTGTCAGTCTCCATTGTTAAAATCCAAAATGTTCTTTCTTTCTTCTTTCTTCTTTCTTAAAATCATCTGGGGCAGAGTAGGAATCTCCAAAATCCTTATATCCAATATTAATTTCAAGTAATCCAAGGTAAAAAGCCAAATAACATGTTTCTTTTCCACCCAGAAAGGGAAAACTCTTCAATCCACTTCCCTGCTTAATCACTGCAGACTCCATGGCTATTTTGTAGCCATCCATCTGTCTATCTTCATTAGCTTCATTTTCTTTTAGAGGCATTAATTCTCAGAAATATCCATTTCTCCTCTCCACTCCAGTTAAAGGCACAGTCAAATTTCAGAAATTTATTACTGCCAAATCATCCAGTTTAAGTTTACTGCAACAAAGTTCAATTTGGGTCTTTTACCCATTTTTTTTCCTTTTCAATCCTTAAGCCCCGCAGTCCAGCAGCCACTTTTAATTTTGGGGTCTTATTTTCCAATAATTCCAAATAGGTACGTTATATTGCCTGGGTTGGTGTCACTCACCCGGCTTCTTGATTTTTGCTCTTTCTTCATCTTCTTCCTCCAGATCCTTGTTCCCGGTTGCCGCGGTTTCAGGGCAGCCACCATGGCTGCCGTTCCGCTGCCGCTGCCGTGAAGGAGAAGCCTCCGGCCCGAGGAACCTGCCCATTCCTCTCGGCCGCCCAAGGCGTTCCTTCTTGTCCCCCTGTCCCTACAAGACAGGGCAGGTCCGCAGACCTATCGGCGGCAGCTTAGCAGAGGGGATCTGGCAGGGCTCAGCGGAGCTCGCCATTTCCCCGTCTGTGTCCCTGCGGCGCCAACCGGAAGTCGGGAAGCATAGGTTCTGTTGCTTACAGATTAAAACTACAAACTCCTGCATTGCTTACACATTTGCATCATCTTCTAGTATGGCCATATGGAGAATCTGGTGCTAATCCTGTTTTTAACTGACTATAATTTGCTGTATTGGATAAACGTTGACAAAACTTAAATAGTTAACCTGAAATATAGTTACAGCAGTTAACATAAGTCAGTACTAGTTGCTTATTCAATTTAATTGCAGTTAGGTTTCAGATAAACTAAATCAATCTTGCCAAATGTGGAGATCTTTCTCTGTAGTTACATTATGTTCATTTCTTCTATAATGTATTTTTTTTCTAATCATGCACAATCTAGATTTCCTAATAATCTAATTCTAATCTACAATCTAATGACCATTTAAATACAATTTCTGAATAACAGCCTTCTGAAAATTTCTTATTCAATCTCAATACTGAGTTTAAATAGTAAATCTGTCAGCTCTGTCTTGAAAGTCAGATTTTTTAACACCTGACTTAGCTTTAGCATTTCAGGACACATTGTTAAATTTATTTGTTAAGTATTATTTATCTTACTTTTCTATTCAACAATAATTCAAATGTCCATGGACAAATTTCTACTATACCTGTAGGTCAATATATGATATTCCTCTTTCTGGTCATGTGCGACCCAGCAGACTATATTTAAGTAATACTTATACGTCAGTTTAGACAATCTGTATAGAACATAATTAATTTCCTTCTTTTTGAGACTGGGAACTATTTCACAACCATTTTCCTTAGGAAGGAAATTATCATCTATTATAATATAACTTTGTGTATTTAGTTATGCCACTCTCTGAAAATGACATTTTGAGGCTGAGTAAAAAAAAAAAATGGCATTTTGAGGCTGAGTAAAATCAGAGCCAGGGTCATTTTACAAAGGCCAATGAGACCATGAAATAATCATAAGCGAGAATATAATCACTAATAATCACTGGCAGCCATTTTTACCTCCAAAGGTGGATACGGCTGCATCCCCAGATTCTGTATTTCTACTGTCCCATTCCCAGGCATGGAGGTAGATGTACTGTAGACTTCCGCCACTCCACTGCTACCTGCATTGGCCGGGCCTGGCACACCAAGGGCTCGAGGGGGTGGAGGTGGCTGAGGAGGTGGAGGGGGTGGGGGAGGCTGAGACAGGTATCCTGCTCCAGGATGCATATTCAAGCTGCTCTAAAAACAAAGAGTGAGAAATTAGTCTTCCTTCTTTCCTTACCTTCTCTTCTCCCCCCCACCCCACCCCCGCTCTTTGGTCCATAAATAGGAACAATATTTGCAAGATTTTAACCTTCCTTCTTTAACCAAGATCAATATTAATATCCATGTTTTTCTGCATACTAGCAAAATAAATCTGTCATGATATAGTTCACGTATATGCAAATCATAATTTACATTTATTTAATAATGAAGGGATCTTTTCTAAGGAATAAACGTATCAGCTTACATTTTCAACATAACAATATTATTACATAAAAGAAACTGAACTATGGACTATAAAAGATAAAAAATGCCTCAAGTCAAGGTCAACCCCTGGTTCATACACATATATATATGTAGATTTCTTAGGTAGCAACATTAATACAATTCTATGAATGATGAATGGATGGATGGATGGTTTAAGGTATTTCCAATCTATTTTATGCATGTGCCAACCATGTGCTTCAAATTGCATTTTGTCCTTCAGATTGCTGCCCAGCCCTACTACACAACATTATGCATACACTATGTGGTCATCAGACATTAAACATTCTTTTCCAACATACATGCATTAATTTTTGTTTTTATAGCACATTCCATTTGTCAGTGCTTGTGTATGTTTTAAATGGCAGGAAAAAGAATATTTACCTGCACAGTGGATTGCACTGAGGACATTGGCTGGTCCAAGGTTGTGAAAGCAGACATGGCTGACATCAAAACCTCATCACTCACTAAGATGTTCCCTTGGACTAATGTTTGGATCAAAGGAGAGGGTGGAACAGTAATATATGTAGAGATCTGTTGAACAAAATAGATAAAACAAAATCTTACACTGGATATTAGGCAAGAAACTTTTCAGAAAATTCTTCAGTAATACATAGAAACAAAGTAAAACAACTCGTTCAGTTCAACTACTCACTATAAGAAATGATGTAGTAGAAGTCAAAATTTTGTGAATAAACCTCTTCAATTAAATTATATAGCATGGTACAAAGGATAAAACATTGTTCAGCTGGCAATTAGTCATTAAACAGGAGGTAAAACTGCATTAAGCTGCAGCCCATTACCAGGTCGCAGCCTGTTTGGAACCCAGATGCACAAGTGGTGGCCAGCGTCCCCTTTCTCCCCTCCCCCTCCCATCTGCCAAGCCAGAAAGATTGAGAACTGCTGCTCTAAGGTAATGGATGACAACCACTAACAGGTTTTACACATGCTGAGACTGACTTTGGAATATAAGAGGAAACACTGGCATGTTTAGTACACAGGTATGCTTAGGTACAACTGGTGACCCAACCACAAAAAGCTCCAACATTCAGCATCGCTACCTGACGATTGGTGGTCTGAGCCTGCTGTACTGAGGTAATGGACGGGGTATACACACTGTTAGTAGCTAGGGAGACTGTAGCCAGTGAGGGGGCATTGCCTTGACACTGTTCCCGCTTATGAGTCATGAATGCTGGCAATGAGTTGAATTGCTTCTTACATTTCCCACAGAGAAATACATCTTCGTCATCTGAAATCAGGGAAAGAAAAAAAAAGTTATTTAACCTGAAAGACTTCCTCTCAAGAAGACACAGAATTTCAGCAGAACAAAGTGGTAAGAAATGATTAACTAAAATTGTCAAGTTGCAGTCAGGAGAATGCTTAGCTTTCTCACAGCAAGCCCCATCTGAAGTCCCCAACATATGACTATTCATTTAGCAACTGTTCAAAGTTATGACAGTGCTGAAAAAAAGTGGCTTACAATCCATTCCTTGCACTTACAACCGCTGCAGTGTCCCCACAGTCACATGACTGCAATTCGGACCCTTGACAACAAACATATATTAGTGACAGTTGTAGCATCCGGAGAAGTCAGCAGGGAAAGTTGCAAATGGCAATCATGTGATGTCTCACTTAACTACCATGGTGATTCGACCATAGCATGAAAAGGCTGGAGACGGTAGGTGGGTCATAAAAATCAACCTGTTTCAGAAAAGGTTACACTCCTCTAAATGGTCAAATTTGTAGACTGGACATGCTTTTAGATTCATCTCTATCACTGTTGGCTCAGGCACACATAATGCCTTTCATTGGCCAAAATTGCAACAACAGCTATGATGCTGCTAGTCTCATATCAATAAACCATGCTTGATTAATCTCTCATCTAGATTGCCATAATCCATTATATATTGGATTGCCTTTGAAAACCATCCAAATTCCAACTAGTATGATTTTAGCCATACAGAATGCCTGAATATGGCAGGTAATTTCTCAGATGTGGGCCTTCTCAGTGGTAATCCTCCAAATCTGACATGCTCTGGAACCTATTTTATTGTCAAACACTATGCAATAAACTTTTTAATTGTCACAGGTCTTTTAATATACTCATGATAGCATATTACAATACAGTAAACTACTCAGAGCCTTTTTGGAATTGAGTAGCATATAAATTGCAGAAATAAATTTGAATTGGATGTGCTACATAGAAGATAGTGGGAAAACAGCATATGTGTCTCTTAAAAAAAATAAAGGTATAGGGAGAATGAAACCAAATAAAGTGCTATCTTATGCTAAATGAATTTATTTTAATGGCAGCAATGTGATAATACATAGCAAATTAACTGCCCTACTGTTAGAGAATATAAAACGGTTTCATTAATATTGTTTCAGGATCATAATTTTTTGAATACATGGGGTAAAATAACAAAGCATTAGTGCATGCATACACTCACAGACACACATAGAAACCGATTACTATGTTACTGCACATCACAAGGAGAAACAAGAAAGAAGTCCCAATGAAAGACTCACCCATGGACTGGATGGATGAAGATGTGTTGACTGTCTGTGTTGATGGATCTGTAACACTTCCTTGGCCATCTAACAAGGACTGAACGGCTAGCACAGTCTGATTATCCATTCCTGGAGGGAATAGAAATGGCAGTCAGAAAATCTATATTATTTCCAGGGACAAAAATATGAAAAAATTGACTGCAATAAAACATATTTCAGCACATTAATTTCTAGGTTTCTTACAATGTAGGGATCTTTATTTATTCAAATACTGTACTTAGTCAAACCCGATCACAGTTCAAACTATTGGTTATGTTTAGAACTATGGTCACACAAACACCATTTCTTGACACTTTTTTTCTCCCTCAAAACTGCCACTTCTTTCCTTCCATTAGGTAGGTTCTTCTTTCTTTTTCTGGCAATCCCCAGATTCTGGACTTTTTTAAAAAGATTTTTAAAATTAGTGGCTTAGTTTAAGTCCCAATTACAGAAAATCCTTGACTTACAACCATTTGTTTAACCGTTATTCAAAGTTACAACCATCTCAGAAAAAGTGACTTATGACCTGTCTTCAAAGTTACCACCATTCCCACAATCAGGTGATCGCAGTTCGGGTACTTGGCAACTAGCTCACATTTACAATCATTGCAGCATTTTGCAGTCATGTGATCATGATTTGCAATCTTCCCAGCTGGGTTTTGACAAGCAAAGTCAATTTGGGAAATTAGATGTGCTTAAGGATCATGTGATTTGTTTAACAATCATGGGAAAAAAGGTCATAAAATTTGTCCTGGTCATTTGATGACTCACGTAACAACTGTATTTGTTGTTCTTGTGACTGAAATTCTGATTTCAATTGTGGTCATAAGTCATTGCATTTTACCCTATTCTCATTTTATCCTATATTGTTTAACATTAATTATGGATATATGTATGCTGTTTAATATTGAAGAACTTTCCTTTAAATATACATGGTGGTTGCATTTGATTTGCTGTAATTACAAATATTTTTATTGGTTGCATGTTAACCTATGAATTAGTTTTATTAAATTTATTATATTTATTAAATTGCATAATTGTTTTTTCTTTTGAACTATACAATATCATGTTAAAAGTGCTTACTAAATGAATACTATTATCACAACCACATATATTTACAATTTTCAAATATCAAGCCTCTATTATATCAATGGTTTAATATATCCACCTGAGTAAAACATTCTCAAGGAGAGTCCATCAATAAGCATGGGAAGATTATTGTTAGGGAACCAGGTTATATAAATTAGGTGGGGTTTTTTTTTTAAAGGACTGCAAGGCATGGTATTCTATGATCTGATTAATTTCAATATCAGGATCCCATTATCTGAATTTAGCCACTAGACTAATCTTTATTTCCTGTTCCTATATGCATTTAATTACAAAACAATAGGTTCCTAATAAGTGTGACGGCAATCTTCACTTTCTCCAAATAACTTGAATTGAAAGTTATTTAAAATCTGAACTTTAATTTTCCTGGTATAAATTACTAAACCATTTTTGCAAATATTTTGGCTCTTTGACTGGAAATCAACACAAATTTCTCCAATACAACTTTCATAATATTTATTACTAGAGAAAATCCATTTGGGAGAAAAACAAAGAGGAGTTAAGAGGAGCTTGCATTTTGTTTACGGTTGAAGAAGCAGCAGCTGTTAGAAGAATCCATTTATTAGTATCCTATGCCATGATTTTTCTAGGTGAAAAGACCAATATTACCTTCAGCAGGAAGCTCCAAAAATAATGGAATACCAGCTGATATAGAAATTAATCCAAATAACAATATCTCTTCAAAGGGTAATGAATACAGCAATATACAAATATGAATATAACTCTGCATTAAAATAGCTTGATATTCATAATCAAGCAAAGAATTATTGCAATAAGATGGTCCTCCCTCCTACATCTACCATCTCTTTCTAAAAATGCTAGCCTGACAGATTACTATGGAGGATAACAGTCATAGGGAAGACAAAACTGCTTACAGTAGATTTCATAGTATTCCAATGTAGGAAGCCTAGTTACCTACATGGAGAAGGCTTTGTTTAGATACTATACTATACCCTCACATCCTAGACATAAATTGTTTCAACTCCTACCCTCAAAATGACACTATAAAGCACTGCACACCAAGACAACTAGACACAAGAACAGTTTTTTTCCCCAACGCCATCACTCTGCTAAACAAGTAATTCCCTCAAACTGTCAAAATATTCACTAAGGCTGCATTACTATTACTATTTGTCTTCTCCCCGTTCCTATCACCCATCTCCTCCCACTTATGACTGCATGACTGTAACGTTGTTGCTTGCATCCTTAAGATTTATATTGATATTGTTTCCTGATTGCTTATTTGTACCCTATAACAGTGGTCCCCAACCTTTTTATCGCCGTGGCCCGCTGAGCGCACGCAGGGGTGGGGGCACGGCCCAGGAGCTTTTGCGCACGGCCCATTGCGCACGGCCCAGGAGCTTTTGCGCACGGCCCAGGAGCCTTTGCGCTGCAGCGTTCATGTCCCCCGGCCGCTGCGCGGCCCGGTGCCAGGTACTCCACGGCCCGGCACCGGTCCGCGGACCGGGGGTTGGGGACCACTGCCCTATAACTATCATTAAATGTTGTACCTTATGATTTTTGACGAATGTATCTTCTATTTTTATGTACACTGAAAGCATATGCACCAAAGTCAAATTCCTTGTGTGTCCAATCTCACTTGGCCAATAAAGAATTCTATTCTATTCTATTCTATAAAATGAATAAATTAAAAATGAACTTCATATTCTTTTATTAGCTCAAAGATTGCTAGGTATTAATTCCACAGATTGATTACATTAAGCATTTGTCCCTGGACGAGGGTATAATACAAAAGAACAGAGTAAATCTTATACTATCCACAGGACTGCTGTTGAAAATAACATCCTTATGGCAGATACTCCTTCTCACCATAGCATTTAGGAACATTCCATGTATGACTCAGCATCATTACACAGTATATTTTCCGATGCCTACAGCACCATCATGTTAAAGATAGTTGACCACAATGGGGGCATTCCTAAATTATTACACAGAGGACAAGTTTCCTTAGGCATTTGGTTTCGATACGATATTTAATCAAGGGTATTGGAATCCTTTCAGCAGATCATTTTCCAACATTCTCCACATATGGCTCTACTTACAGAAAGAGAAAGTACTAATTTAAATAAATATAAATTACTTTCTGTCTGTCCTTGCTATGAAGAGTGAAACACCATTCTGTAATTTGTGGAGCAGCTGCTATGATCCTTCTAGCCTCTTCGTCAAAAAGATTAGAAAGCTAGAAAAGGACAAACACCAACACAAAGGCACAAATTAAATTGCCAACCCCATTTCCTCCAAGTAAATATCTATAGGATTATAACCTCAAATTATTAAATGGTTTGTGCATCTTAAACATAAAATCTTTTTTTAAAAAAAAATAGGAAAGTCTACTTACAAAGTAAAGTTTCTTCCCTTCTGCAATATTTAAATGATAGAACCTTACATCCAGGTCTTTCTTCATACAATGGACAGTTTCACATATTACACTAAGACATTATTTATGAAGCAAATGACGGTGGTTGGATTTATGTATTATACTGAACCAACACTAAACAAACAATATTACGTAATGTAACATGAAAACGTAATACGTAGTCAATGAGTGGAATTCCAAGGTGTGAAAGTACTTAAGGCTCTTAAAATGAATTAAACCAGTCTTCTCCAATTCTGTATATCCTCCCTGATTATCCCTAGTCAATCTTGATTATATTGCTGAGGATAAAATAAGTTCCAATATATCAAGATGACACTAGAAGATTAGGAAAGGCTGAACTAGAAAGTCATGCTTCAACACATACTTCTTTTTACAAATGAGGTAGAGATGGCTATTGTTTCACTGTCTGCTTATAAACAAACAGGCAATGATCATATCCGCAGATGGGACAAATGACAACATGTGCTGCTACACTAAAACTACAATTTATTCCAACACTATGGTTTGCCATGGACACTACTGGCAGCTTTAATTAAAAACAGAATGTGGAGCTTGACAGAATTTCTTCTTGTCCAGTATGGGATAAGAAGGGATTTTTATTTTTTATATTAAGATCAAATTCACTGATAAAATAAATCAGCTAAGAATCATATTTTTTTTTAGCTTTTGTCTGGGTCAATTGAAAACTTACATGCATTTAAGTCACCACTGTAATATAGTTTGAAACTGCAAATTAGCCAATATCTTAATAAGATTATGCTTCAAGATCATATAGGAGACTAGCAATAATAATCCCAAATTCCACTCCTTCACTCTTCTTCCTCCTCCTCCATCCATAATCATAGTAATTATCTATAAATAAAGCAAAATAAAGTATCCCTCTTGTCATGTAAGCTCTTTCTCATCACTTCCAATAAAAATATCTTGATTATAATATTGGTAGAAATATTATGTATGAGTTTAAATACACTAAATGTTTTTCCAAAATGAAATTGTATTTGGGTTAACTATAGTTGGAAAGGAGCTGTAAATTCATACATAAGTCTTACGTGATGTATATGCAAATGTTCAGATGATAACAAAATTTGTCATTATACTTTACAAATCACTTGAAGTACATGTGTTTTAATAAGTTTTCCTAAATCCTAGAATATACTATATCAAACATACCATTGTCACCCCTAACACTGTGGTCCCCTAACAAAAGGTGAAGATTCCGGAAACCTCAGTTATTTTTCATTGTACCAGATAAAGAGCTTTCGGCAAACATCATACATGTGTGCTATATTTTAGTGCCATGTAGAAAAGTCCTGTCATTTTTCTACATAACCTGCTGTCAATTTGATCAAAAGGAAATTACCACTGATATTTCTTTTAAAAGATAGTTGATAGAACCTGGTGGAAGCAGTAACCTCTGATAGCTCAAACAACAAAACAAACTCAGAGGGGAGAAAATCAAAATGAGCCTTTGTATCCTGAGAATTTAACTACCTCAGAAACTTCTTTTAAAAGGAAGATAATTTTAAGATCATAAGGTAGATTTTGAAATAGCTTGAGGATATCTTGTGTCCAATTTTATTACTAGAGCTATGCTAAGTCTCAAAGATGCACTTAGTAGAGTCAAGACATCCAATAAAGCAGCACATTCAGTTCTTAAATTGTCGATATTGAGGTAATTCATCATGTTTGTTCAAGTTGAGACAGGCCTCAAAATCAAACTGTTCCAAAACAAGAATGCTCTGTACAGACCTAATTGTTGTTTGGATAGTGATTTATTCTTTAGTATTAATTTAATCAATGGTTTTGTCAGATTTAGCTATACAGAACATAGAACAATCAGCTTTCAAGGAGTGACAAGGAGTTCTTATAGATTGGAGTATGGGATCCAGTAATTGACCAGTTCGCTTGCACAGAGAGGGCCTCCTCAGGGTGCCGTCGGCCAGGCAGTGCCGGCTGGTGACCCCCAGGGGCAGAGCCTTCTCTGTGGCAGCACCTGCCCTCTGGAATGACCTGCTCCCTGAGATATGCACGATATCAGACCTCTGGACTTTTCGTCGGGCCCTGAAGACACACTTGTTCCATCTAGCTGGGCTGGCCTGATCCCATCCTCTCAGTTTTTTAATCGAATTTCAGTTTAATTGGGTTGTTTTAAATTCGGGCCAAAATTATTTAATTGTTTTATAAAATGTTTTTTAAATTTTATATGTTATGTTTTATCCTGGCCGTACACCGCCCTGAGTCCCACAGGAGAAGGGCGGTCTAGAAATATAATAAAATAAATAAATAAAATAAATAAATTATTTCTTTTTAAACAGAACTGAAAGGACATTCATTTTAGCACACTTTTCTGAAAGACTTGTGATATGACAGCCAACTAAAACTGTTTCACTGCTGTGATATCACATGCCACATCAACTACAAAAACACATGTCAATAGTTGAATTTACTTGTCAGACTAGGCTAAATATTTATCTGGCTTATGTTTTAATGGCCTGGGCAATAGGGCCTAATAAATAAACAATAATTAAAGGAAATTATTGTTCAATACAACATACAAAGTGCCTTGGGGTTTTTTTCTAGATAAGCTTGATACAACTGCTGTTTTAGAGCACTTTCAGAAGACATAATTTCATAAATTAGGCTAATATGCAGATGCAATCATGACCAAGTTCACTATAGAACAAACTTCAGTGGCTGCATTCACACAACAGTGGAAAATGAACCTAAACTAGCCACATTAGTCGGTCCTGAGATGTGTAAATCAACAGTAACAACCAATGGATGTTCTTTTAAATTATATAATATTGTGGAGAAAAATCCAGTTGGCCAAAATCCATGAAATAGATTGCTGAACCAACTCATCAGGGATCCTTCTTCTTAAAACATTCAGTTTTTACAGAAGCATACAGTATTTTGGAGTTTGAGACAGTTAGGGGGAGGGAACGTAATTTGCAACCAGGGAACATTCTCAATTTTGAACTGCCGCTGCAGGTAGCAACTGCATTTGCATTTGTAAAAAAAATAAATAACCTTTAGCGGCAGCGGTTTTCACAAATGTACGTGCCCAGACTTTAATGTCACACTCATCACTACGATGCAATTTTTTCCAGGGAATGGGGGCGATGTTACACAAGCTGCATTATTCGAGAACCCAGAAAAGGCACCTTTAGAGGTAAAAAGGAGTTCTTACAGAGAGGAAATTAAAGCAACAAATGCCCTTTGAACGGAACTTGCAAAAGAGGTGGCGGCAATGAGGTAGCAAGCCACCGTCCCTTCTTGCTTTGGGAACAATTTCCAGGAGGACCCGAGTCGCCCGCTTGCTTTCCCGTCCCTTGCCAAGGTTTGGCTCCTCCGGGATTTATCTGGCGAAACAAATTTATCCGCGCACGCAGACCGCCGGATGGTGCGGTTATTCCTCCAAGGCAGACACTGTACCCTGGCTGTTCCAGGAACCCTCCCTCAGCGCCAGAGATGGCTTAGGGCGGCACCGGCGCCTTCTCAGCCCCCGTCCCATCCACAACGGCGGGAGGGAGGCGCCCAGCGTGGAATAGCCGCGCTTTTTTTTTTTTTAATGGACTTTCCCAGACGCGAGGCCTCAACCCGCCCGGCTCCCCGAGATATACCTTCCAGCGCCTCGAATATCGCCTGCGCCATCTTGAAGCCGAGGCAGCCACAGCAGAACAACCTAAACGGGCATTATGGGAAGACGAGGGAGGGTCGCTCCGCCGCTAGGGGGAGCGCGAGGCGATGAGGTGGGGAGGGGAGGCTGGCTCAGGGAATAGCCTAGCTGGAAGGGGCGGGGCCTCCTGGCCGTAGTGTTAGCGAGGGGGGGGCACTGCTGGGCTGTCCCGGTGTGTCCCTCGGCTTGTTCAGGGAGGGGGACTTTTTCTTTTAATTTATGTAGAAGAAATGTCAGAGTTTCTTCAGGAAAATTTGTATCTAGAGCAAAAAGGAGAGCAAAGGAAAAATTGTGCTATTTGCCATCTTAGCTTAGGGCCAACCTTGTTCTTTGTCCCGGTTGGCAAGAGTTGTATCCGTGATATTGCCACCAACATCAAACTCCATTTCAGATTGAATTTGAACAGGAGATCCCGTGGCTGGACCATTTGTCCAGATTTTGGGGGCTTCCATGCCTCTTCATCCATTCCTCCTTTTTTGCATCATCTTGCATGACTCGTTCATTGGAGAACCTGAAAGTTCCTATGATATTTTGTATCTATTTTTATTGGTCCCAATAAAGGTATTATTCAACTATTTATTTATTTATTATTTATTAATTTTATTTCTATACCGCCCTTCTTCCGAAGGACTCAGGGCGGTGTACAGCCTAATTAAAAACACAAAGACAGACAAAATTTTAAAATAATTAAAATTATTAGATAATAGACCCAATTTGTAAAACCCCAAATTTAAAATCCCATTTAAAACCAATTAAAATCTTTACATTGATAGCCCAGCCTGGCGGAACAACATGGTTTTGAGGGCACAGCGAAACACACGGAGATCAGAGATTTTACGAATTTCTGGGGACAGATCATTCCAAAGGGCAGGGGCTCCCACAGAGAAGGCCCTCCCCCTGGGCATCGCCAGCCGACATAATTTGGCCGATGGCACCCTGAGGAGACCCTCTTGTGGGAGCGAACTGGCCGGTGGGAGGCTACTGGTGGCAGAAGACGGTCTCGAAGGTATCCAGGTCCAATGCCATGGAGCGCTTTAAAGGTGGTAACCAACACCTTGAATCCCACCCAAACTAAGGATTTGGACATGCATTCAATAGGACCTATGTGCAGCTTAAAGGTCATTGCAACAGAATGTAATATAGGGTACTTATGTATTTTGTTTAATGTTCAGACATTATAGGAGCCTGAGTGGCGTAGGAGGCTAATGCCTCCTACTAAGGCAGCATTTAACATCCAGCTGCCTGCAATTACTGCGAGTTCAATTCTCACCAGGCTCAAGGTCGACACAGCCTTCCATCTAAGGTGGGTAAAATGGGGACCTGGTTTGTGGGGCAATAAGCTGACTTTGTATAAAATATACAAAAGTATGAAGGCTATTGCTTAATGCATTGTAAGCTGCCCTGAGTCTCCGGAGAAGGGCGGCATATAAAAATAAATAAAAATTAAAAAAAAATATGTTCAGACAACTGCAGAAGAACTGGAGGTCGTCCATGACTTTGTGTACCTCGGCTCAACTATCTCTGGCACTCTCTTTAGATACTGAGCTGAATAAACGTGTTGGTAAAGCGGCCACCACATTTTCCAGACTTACAAAGAGAGTATGGCTTTATAAGAAGCTGACGGAACATATAAAGGTCCAGATCTATAGAGCCTGCATCCTGAGCACACTCTTGTACTGCAGTGAGTCTTGGACCCTTTACACATGGCAGGAGAGAAAGTTGAACACTTTTCATATGTGCTGTCTCCAACGTATTCTTGGCATCACCTGGCAGGACAAAGTTCCAAATATCGCAGTCTTGGAATGTGCTGGAATTTCTAGCATGTATACACTATTGAAACAGCGACGTCTATGCTGGCTTGGGCATGTCGTGAGAATGGCTGATGGTCGGATTCCAAAAGATCTCTTGTATGGAGAATTAGTGCAGGGAAAGCGCCTCAGAGGGAGACCACAGCTGCAATATAAGGATATCTGCAAGAGGGATCTAAAGGCCCTGGGAATGGACATTAACAACTGAGAAACCTTGACCTCCGATCATTCAGCTTGGAGGCTAAAGACGCAGCATGGCCTTCTCCAATTCGAAGAGACACTTGTTCAGCAGGCTGAGGCAAAGAAGCAGTCCCGGAACCAGCGAAATCTGGGGGCTGGGCAGGGAACAGAATGTATCTGCCCTCAGTGTGGAAGGGATTGCCACTCTTGAATTGGCTTTTTTAGTCACACTAGATGCTGTTTTAGGACCTCTTTCCAGAGCACGATACTATAGTCTTTGAGACTGAAGGTTGCCAATGCAATGTTCAGACTCAGTCACCAAAGGCAGGTGTAGGATAATGTTGCCACTTTCTGCCAGATATTCAGCCACAACCAAAACTGATGAGACTTTCATTATGGAAGTAATTTTCTGAAACACCCAGAACATGTTCTCAAAATTTCAGATATGCTCAACAACTCCAAATGATGCTCACCAGCCTAGCTTTCAGCTATGGAGCTCATGTTATTTCAGAACTGCTATAAGACAATATTCATGTTCCACTATGTGTAGCTTCAACAATGGCCTCCATGGGAAGGGAGCCAGCCTGAAAAGAAATTCAAGTGTTAAAGAGTAATGGGGAAATTATTTTTGTGACTAACACTGATAGGAATCAGAAAGTTTAAATCCCTCCCAGAAAATGGAAATGCACCCTATCAACATTTTGATGTAGCATGTGGCATGGCTTATTAATAAAGACATATTGAGCCAACGGGAACTGGTACCACATTTGCGATCTATCTACATTATTTCCTGAAGCTCTACTTCTATGCCTTTTGTGTTTCAGTCGAGTTGTTTCCCCGGATTGACCGGCTGCTAGATCCGCAAGTGTCAAGGCTGAAGCGATGGGCGATCAGACGATTCTCAAGACTTTGCTCTACACCGTCAATTCTCTCTTGCAGCAGCGGAGATATCAGGCCACGCTGGCGGTGCTCAAGGGCTTCCGCAACGGAGCGGTGTAAGTTTGAGCTGGGGACCGTCTTTCTTTCGCATTCCTGTTCCGAAACGATCGCCGAAGGGGCGATCTTGGCGATCAGGGACGAGTATTTACGCTGATTTCACTAAGAATTGAGCGGGAGGAAGCAGATTTGCAGTTGACTGCTCTTGGCTGGGCTGTCTTTGCTTTCGCTCTCCTTCATAGCCCCCCCGCTTTCTGGGATGCTGCAATAGATTGCCTCGTAGTGAGAAAATAATAACTGGACCCTTTTTACTGATATGTTTTGTTTATAGGTGTAAGTGACGTTTTGGGTGGGCAGGTATAAGATTTTAATCTAATGACAGATTCTCCCGATCTTCTATAAATAAGGTTTCAAATTATAGACACAAGCTAAATTGAGTGACGATCAGACTGACAGCTTGGGGTAATTTAAATAATTTAAAGTGGTCCTGGCTATGTATATATCAGCACGTTTGCTTCTTATGCTTTATCTGCATTTCATTTCAAAATTCTTATGGTTGACTTCAAAGAAGTATTACTGACCAAGTGATAATATGTCTGCTATTAGATTGAGTTTTCATTTCCTTTTAGAGGACAGTATTGGTTCAGTATATACTGTGTTGTGGTAAAACATTGCTGTATATATAAATTTACAGAACAGCAGTGAGCTTAGGTAATGCCTTCTAAGGTCTGGATACACCTAGATTTCATTTTTAATCATTCATACTAAATGCTTACCGATAAATGCTTTTTTGTTTTCTTCTTGTAGATATCTCCAAAATCCATTCATTCAACTATCATTCTAATAAAGCAATTGTTATTCTATACATTGTTTAGTAGTTACCTATCTCAGCTTCTGCAACATTGTGGCTAGATATTTTAAAATCATCTCTGGTGTTAAGAGTAGTTTCTTTTCTAGTGGGCGATACTTCAAAACAAACTCTGTGGTTCTCTTATGAACAAGATTATCTTCCTGTTTTTGGCTGTCTCTATATTTTCAAAGCATTAGTTATCATTTCCCCCATGATAATAACGAGTATTCTAAGAAGTTAAAAGTGAGGAAGAGGTTTCAGAACATTGTTTTAGTGGTACACTAAATGTGAGTATTCAGATTTAGGTGCCATATTAGGCAAGCATGTTAAGTCTTTCAGTGTAGAGCAAACTCAACCTGTTTGTGCAATTTATATCCAATACCCAAGGCAAAGGAGTTGTGCAAGATGCCTTGTCATCTTGGCTGACAAGATGTTCTTGTCATCCAAGAACTCTATCCCCAAGTTACATAAAGCAATAATTAATGGGGCCTTGGTGCTCTCTGAGCTTGCTTTTCTTGTAGGCGTTTCATTACCTTAACTAGGTAACTTAATCAGTGCAGGTAAAGAGTGCTGTTTTCTGACAGTTTATATTATGGTGTCTTGCCTGCCTGCCTGTGTGGGTGGGGGAAGTCTTAGAGATTCTTTGGTTGGGCTGTTTACTGAGGGCTTTTTGGCAGTTTCTTGATTGGGGTATTGCTTACTTGCAATAATTGCATTCAAACACACATTAAACTTTATTTTACTGACAATTTTATGCATTTTCTTTATTTTTGGCAGTTATGGAGCCAAAGTCCGTGCCCCTCATGCTTTGGTAATGACATTTCTCTTCAAAAGTGGAAGGTACATTTCTCACAGTATCTGTCACTTACAGAATAATGTCATAGAAGTTAAAGAAGCCTACCTTGTTTGTGTGCATGTTTTTCTTAAATATAGGTAGTCCTCCACTTACAACCATTAGTTTAGCGACATTACTGAAAAATGTGACTTACAACTGATACTCACACTTACAATCATCACAGCCACTTACAACCATCCCCACACTCACATGATCAAAATTTGGGTGTTTGGCAACCAATATGCATTTATGATAGTAGCAGTGTCCCGGGGTTACTTGATTGTCATTTGCAGTCTTCTGGAAGCAGAAGCCAGCTTCCAACAAGGAAAGTCTTACTTAACAACCCTTTGAGTTACTTAACAAGTGCAGTGATTTGCTTAACATCTGTGGCAAATAAGGGCATAAAATTGGGCATGACCCAACAAAAACCCTGTTTAGCAATGGAAATTCTGATCTCAGTTGTGATTGTAAGTCCAGGGCTATCTGTAGTCTTAGTACGCATTGTGATTTCTTCTCTGCATTCTTAATGTTTCTGTTTGGATGTTTTTCACTGAATTAAATATATTAGGACAGAAAAAGAAGAGATTGTCATCCTTTTTTTACTTAAATCAGACTATAAATATATTTAATACTGTTTTATGGATATTTATGCATAGAAACAACATTTTATAGGAAATCAAGGGGGTGGGGGTTATGATGGCAATCTAACAATACAATTTTGCATATATATTCTCAAGCAAGTTTCACTATTTCCAATGCAGTTTATGATGCAATCATATCAGCCCTTAGGTAGAAATAACATTGCAATCTTATCCATTGTTAATGTGACTCTGTAGTTGAAGATTCATTGATTTATAGATGTTCTCCTGACTAAATATAATAGAATTGAGGTAGTAGATATCAGTAGAATTTCCTTCTTTGAATTTTTAATACTTTTAACAATCTTAGTCATGTCAGATTTAACTTAACTGCCACTCTTTGCATGTTAATTCAATGTTAATTCCAATGTTATAGTTTATACAACTATAAATGTTTTCAAAAGTGCCACGAACTGTAAAAGTTATGAACATTTGAGTACATCTCTATATTGACTAGAAAACATATTCATGCTCTTTTATTAGAAACAGATTGACTTATGTGGCTTTAGTTTTCTAATATTTTCTGAAAGTGAAATGAAGATAATTGTTACTTTTTAATGTACATCAGAATCAATGACCAATAAATATTATAATTGATTTATAATATTTTCAGGGAAATAATATTATGTGTAATAATTGTTCCTTGTTTCTTCCCTTCAGCCTAAAGGAAAAATTGAAAGCAATTCTTCAAGCTACCTATACCCATTCCAGAAACATGGCCTATTTTGTATTCACTTATAAGGGTTTGATGGCCATGCAGTCACGAATGCAAGGAAAGAAGGTTCCATTTCAGTCTTTCCTCGCAGCCTTTATTGGCGGCTGGTTAGCATTTGGGGAAAATAATAATATTAACAGCCAGGTAAGCAACTGTGTTGTTTTGTGTTAGATTTATGGTTCTACTGATCTAATGAAGAATGAAAGGGAAATTAGGGAAATTTAGTAAATTGTACCATCACATTCTTCCATTATTAATTTTTGCATATCTGCCGCAGATGGGGTAGTGAATTTATCTGAATACAATTCTTTTGCCTCTTTCTTTCACTCTAGCAAATTGTAAGAAAGGGATTAGTAATCATAATAATTTGTTTAGCTCGTATGATGCCCAATTCTCAACTACTCTGGATGGATCACAACAATCACATTACAAGAACATTAATAAAAGATAAAAGGCGGCAAGTGGAATGAAGTGAGGGGTCTCACTTTCCTGTACCAAAAGCTTGGGTGAAGAACCAAGTCTTCACAGCTCATATAAACAATAGTAGACTGGGGTCCCTTTGGGTCTTGGGGGCAATCTTATTCCAGAGGGCAGGCCCTGCTATAAAAAATATCTGCTATCTATTTGCTAACCACACACAATGAACATTTTAACAAAATATAAGTATTGTTATTCAAATGGTAAACCCATTGAGAGAAGCATTATTTCTTCCGGGATGAAAAAAAATACAATTGATACTTCACAGTGGTAGATAATTGTGGCAGAAGAATGACTATCCATGTTGATTTTTTATTGTAAAAAATCCAGGTATAATTTGGATGCTTTTTAGGAAATGTACTTTGCACACAGTTGCATTTCTTTTGAAACCAGATGATAACCAGAAACAAACCATTGTTTTCATGCAACTGGGAAAGGATTGATTTACAGCTGATATTTCTAGCATTAGAATTGGGAATAGAGGTATATTGTTGCTGAACCTTATTAAAATGCAAGTAGGCTGGTTAAAATTAAAGACTGATTTTGGTATGAAAGAATTTGTTGATCTCCTAAATTGAAAGTTGTTTCAAGTAATCTCATTTTCCTGTTGTGCTAATTGCCTAATTTTAATTCAGTATTTTTTCCTGAACAGATAAATATGTATTTATTATCTCGTATCCTGTTTGGCTTGTCTCGATTGGCAGTAGAGAAGGGTTATATCCCACAGCCCAAACAAGATCCCTTCCCACTTTTTGCTGCTATGGTTTGTGGGATTGTTCTTTGGCTCTTTGAGTATCACCGGCACACTCTACAACCATCACTACAATCATCTATGACCTACCTATATGACGACAGTAATGTTTGGCATGATGTTTCTGACTTCCTTGTACATAATAAAAGATCTACTACCAAATAATCCTGACAACTATTTGGATTTTTCCAAATTAGGTTTTATTTCTTGGGTTTCTAAAATAAAAGAAGAGAGTAGATAGTATGGTGAACATAGGGAGGGTGTCAAATAGGTTATTCTTGTTGTGAAATTCTGTGTTATGATGTGTATGCGGTGGGGGAGGGGGAAGAGTGTGAATACTAAAAAACTTTTTCTTGATTGAAGCTCTACCAGATGGAAAATGATGCAATCATGCATAGCTAGAACTATTATTGCAGTTGTCATACTCTGATCATATAGTCAACAGGTAGAATTCTGTTTAGCAATCCACCAAAAGTGCCAAATCGAGTATTAGATTTTATCCCATTCTTTTATTAATGAATACAGATAACTGTGTATTGCATTTTTTGAAATTTATTTATTATTAAACAAATTTATATTATCACCTGACTTGCACACAGTGACTCCAGGCAGTGTATAACTTTAAAAATCCACATTTTTTTAGTGCAGTAACAACAAAATCAGACAAGCCATTTGACTGGTTCAGAACGGGGTCCCTAAGCCCTCTGACAAAACCAAGTCTTCAAGACCTTATGGAAAAGCATCAGGGTAGAGGCCAATCTTATTTCTGGAGGAATGATGTTCCAAATATTTATAATCCAATCATGTGAACTGACTAAAGCTAGTCTTTCTGGGTCTTTTCCAATCTTGTACAGATGCACAGAAAAGCAATGTGGATTTCTTATTGTAAAAGAACAAAAAAATGGACTTATAGATGAAATGGAAGATCTTGCAAAATGTATTTGCATAGCAAGCATAGATCTTCCTAAAATGTTAATTTCTTTTCATAATTTCATCTCTTTGTGTCAGGGTTGTCAAACTCGTGGCCCATGGGCCAGATGTATCACACATTGGCCATGCCCACCCCCGGTTTAGCGAAGGGGGGAAAAGTTGCGATATATCACATGACGTGTCATCATGAGTTTGGCACACCTGCTTTGTGTCATGAACAGTGCTAGGTGGCATCATGCACTGCACATACACACACACTGCTGCTGCTGCTAAAAAGTTAGGTTTATAAATTAAAATGTCTGCTATCCTAATCTCATTTTAGAGTAATCACTTTTAATACAATCAGTATAGTGAAAAATCTGTTTTTAAACATCATTACACAAATTGAAGCAGCTTTTTTTAATTGAAGAAGAACAAATGTACTTTTGTATGTGCTGGAGTCTTATTTGAAACAGGATGCTTTAACCTTGGTTAAAAAGCCAAAACAAGACTGATTATAAGGCATTAAAATTATTGGTTATGCTGTTGTACTGAGTTTTTATTTATCATTGAAAACTTGCTTGGAAGCTTTGTATTTAATTTATAGGACCACAATATTGCTGTGGGTTGTTAATTCTTTTATCGCATGTCTTTACTTTGCTTGTTTGATCTATTTGTTATCTTGCACCATTCTGTGTCTGTTCTCATCAGATAATCTGTGGAAATCTATTGCCTTCTTTCTGAATTCATCTCATACGAATGTTTGAAAGCCACTATGACAAAATCACAATCACATCATGTTTTATGTTCAAAGGAATAAATACCAATCTGCTTCAGGATATTATTGATATTTTGGGCAATGTCTGCCCTAAGCTTTTATTGATTCTCTTCTCACATCATTGCTTTCATGCAGTGATACCTTCTGCTGCCTTCTCCCTAAACAATGGGCATTCTATTCTATTCTATTCTATTCTATTCTATTCTATTCTATTCTATTCTATTCTATAATTTGCTTTAAGTTGCATTCTGTGCAATTCATCTTTATTTTTATATTTTAATTGTCCTTGTCACTGCGTTTTTTGTATTTACCAGCAGAGCTCATTATTTCTGGACTATCAGACTTTCCGTAGCATGCCAAGAATTGTTATCAGTGAGCTAAACTGCACATGTATCTCCACCCAAATTCCTTCACACACTTTTCTTTGTTCTCTTGCCAGGAAGGTCCAGCTGCTGAGAAAGCAGCTGGCACGAACTTTTATTCAAAATGTAACAATTAATCTAATTAGATCAGTAAGATGTTTTATTTTCTTTATAACAAATTAATGAGTTTTGTCTTAGAAGAAATATCTTTGGGTTTTGTTTTCTTAAAGTATACTTGCAAGGAGAGGTCTCGATCCACCCCTCGTAATCAGGTGCAATTATCCCAAAAGCAGAATGGGATTAATCAACGCCCTGACATCTGGTAGCAGAGGGCGGTCGAAATTTATGGCTTTTTCCTTGTTTGTTACTTTTGATGATAAGCGCATAGACAATTAGTTTTTAGCTACTGAGGTACGCTAATTATTTTTGCTAAGATGCCGAAACAGAAGAAAAAGGGAAAAATGAAACTCAGAGCATTCCCTATTAATGATTTCAACCTCTCCTACGAAGAAGAGGAAGAAAGGAGGATTTCAAACTTTCAGCCCCTTGCTACAGCCACACGCCTGGAACTAGAAGCCGTGGGAGAAGTAACAGATGAAATGCTCTTAAAAAGGCATCAGGAGAGAGATAAGAGAGAAACTGCTTTTGAAGATAACGTGCTACAACTGAGGTCAGTAGCGTCTCCTTCTGAATATGCATGCTCTCAAACAGTCCTCCCAGAGCCTTCTGATTTTGTAACGCTTGGTGCAAGGCCAAAACATTTACAAACGGCCGAGCATTCTCACCCCCACGCAGAGAGAGAAATAATTCATTATTCTCCTCACACCCTTGAGCTCACCCTGGATGAGCTGGCTATGAAAGCCTATAGTGACCGTATAAAATTCTATGAACAGGAGCTATCCCAGGCAAAAATGGCTTTATCTATGCTTGAGCAAGATAAGGGAGAATCTCGTGACTTCAAAATCTCTAAAAGCGCCATTTTGGCTCCTTCTTCGGAGCCAAAGACACTCCCCCTGGTGGATTTTGTGTCAGGCCAATCAGAACAGATAGCAGTGCACACGTCACATGTCTTACACTCCTACTCTAAAGTTCCAAGTGCCACCTATGCAGAGAGATTATCTGAGCTGCCCGAAACTAAAGGTGCAGCACCATCTGCTGGCGAAAGTAATTTACTAGAGAAAGCTGAAAGGCAACGTAGTCTACATGAACATTTTGAATTATTACAGCAGACCCTGGCAAACCTGTCTCTAACTCACTCAGGGATTCAGGCTGCAATCCCACAAGTGTCTCCACAGGCCCAAACTCAAGCACCCCCTGGTGGCGCTGGTGTCCTCTTAGATGGAACACAACAAAGCTTAATGCAGCAAAGGCAAATGACTGCATCTCCAACAGGTCATGCTAATATTGCAGCTCAAGCACAGATGGCAGCTGGAACACAGCAGATTCCAGTGCAACAGCCTCAACCACAAATGCATGCACACGCGCCTCCAGCTGTACAACCAGGGCCAGCTCCTGGTCCACCTCCAGCGCAACAAGTGCCTTTACTTCCACAGCCAGCACCTCAAATGCACATTCTTCAACAGGCATCTTCTGTTGCTCCACTGGCTGGTGAGTCAAAATTAAAGATGTCAGGACAGAATTATAAAGCCTGGGTCAGTGAGATTGGATTGTTACTTCGTAGAGAAGGCACTCACTGTATGATTTTTAACCCCCCTGCTCAGCCTTGGTCTCCTGCAATAAGAGACTTAGAAATTAAAGCTTGCACAACATTATTGATGTCCATGGATACTGAACTGCAGGTTACATTTTCGCCTGATGCAACAGCCCAACAAATTTGGGCCCAATTGGAAAATTGCTACAGGCCTGTTTCAATTGAATCTTCATGTTTGCTCATGTCTCAGTTCCACGGTTCAAGATTGAAACCTGGTGAACAAATTGGAGGACATTTGACCAAACTGAAAGGACTGAGAAAAGAATTGAGAGAAAGAGGCTATAATATTGATGATATTCAAATGATCAGCATTATCATTAACTCTTTGAACTATGAATAGAACTATGCCATTACAAAGATTAACCAAGTCCCTATTGCTCAACGCACAGTGGACAATGTATGCAGACTTTTAATTGAAGAAGAAGCACTCATGTTAGCTACTTCACACTTGAAAGGACCACCCGCATCAAGAGCTCCAGCTAGGCGCCCCTTCCGAGGAAGGACCTACGCTCCAAGGATGCCAAGATGCTACATCTGTGATCGTGTGGGACATGCCACCTGGGATTGTCCCCAACGAGTTCCAGCTCCCGTCACGTACCAGCCCAGAGGAACAGACTCCAGAGGCAGAGGCAGAGGCGGAAGACAAGGTCGTTGTGGTCCCCGGCATGATCCACAAGCTCCACTCGCCACATTGGCTTTAACCAATGATCCACAACCTCAACCAGAGTACGACAGATGACTCCTGTAGACTTTGGACAGTGGTGCAGCTTTGCATGTTACCTACAGAAAGGAACTTTTCACAGAGATGCACGAGCCTGAACCTGAACTACGTGAACTTTATTCTTTTTCCAATCATCCTTGTGAGGTCAAAGGAAAAGGAACTGTTTATGTTGAAGAGCTCGATGCATTCATTCCTGATGTTTATTATATACCAACAGCAACCAGTAATTTGCTTAATCAGAGTCACTTGTCTAGAATGTTAAAGTTCCAGGTTCACCACCTTGAAAATGCAAGTTACATAGTTAAAGATGGAGATATTGTTGCTGGAACCATATTAATTGGTCGTGTTTATTACTTAAAGCCAAAGCCTAAAACACAAACACAGGCAAGTATACAAACTCCAAAAAGGGAGAGCACAGGTCCAGAGAGAGATGCTCCAGAGAGATCCTGTTGCTGCTCCAAAGGCTCCTAAAGCCAACAAAAAGAAAATTGGGAAACAGGTTGCTCAGAGCAAGCCTGAGGTTCCTCATAAAACTGTTAATGTTGAAAATTCACTAACTGGTAAACCTTTGCATTCTAGGTGTATCCATAAATGGCATAGAAGATTGGGGCATGCCAATTTCCGTGTTCTTAGGAAGATGCCGGATTTCGCAAAAGGTTTGGATCTAAAGGGGTGTAAGGTGTTTTTGGATTGTGCTGTCTGCAAAAAGGCCAAATCCAAAGCGGCAGCCATTCCCAAATGCGCTACATGCCTGTTAACATGCATTTTTGATTTGGTTCACACTGACATAGTTGGTCCTTTTCCACCATCATTTGGTGGTAGAAAATATTTCCTAACAATTGTTGATAATTACTTTAGATATGGATATGTATATCCTATGAAAGAAAAATCTGAGACCTTTCAGATCTTTAAAGACTTTGCAGCCCTTGTTTTTACCCAACACCAAGTTCGCATCGCCAGAATCCAGAGTGATCGTGGTGCCGAATTCATGTCTCAGCGTTTCCAGGACTGGATGCGTAAGAATGGAATTCTTCATCAGACATCGGCTCCTTACACACCGGCTCACAACGGTGGGGTACTGCAAACCATGATGTGTTGCCTCCTAGAAGACGCCAACCTTGATATGATATACTGGGGTGAAGCTATAAAATATGCAAATTACATTGTCAACCGTACTTGGAGCAATGTAATAAATGAGACTCCTTTCTTCATGTTGTATGGCTACAAGCCTGATCTTAAAAACATCCATATTTTTGGTTCATATGCTATGGTGAACATTCCCTTAGCTCAAAGAAGGAAAGGAGGTCCAGCAGCAAAGAGACTGAGATTTATGGGTATTGATGATAATTCAAAATGGAGCAAATTTATTGACTCTAAACATGTAATTGTGATTTCCCAATCTGCTAATTTTGAGGAAGATGTTGACTGGTCCAGGATTCATTCCAATGATCCTGGAGTTTATTTTCCTAGAGATGATACTGCTGATGCCACGCAGATTGATGATCAAGATTCCACTGGTTGTTCTCAAGCTGATGTTCCCTCTTTGCAAGCCACGGATGCTGACGCTAGCGACGAATGTGAGTACGAGGACGAAGCAGAAGAAGAATGGACTGTTGTTCCGAGACGTTCCAAGAGGGCCACAAAAGGAATCCCTCCACAACAATATTCTTGGCAACTGACAAAAGCACCCTTGCCTTTGATTTGCAATGTTACACTTCCACCTGATAATTTCACGCAAATCAAGCAGCTTCCTGATTCAGAGCAAGACAAATGGTATAAAGCAATGCAGGCTGAAATGGACAGTCTAAAGAAACTTAAAGTGTTTACACCTGCAAAACCTCCAGCAAACAAAAAGGTCATTGGCACTAGATGGGTCTACAGAATCAAAAAGAAGCCAAATGGTGAGTCACTGTACAAGGCCAGACTTGTAGCTCAGGGTTTCACTCAACGTTATCCTGAGGACTACACAAATACTTATTCACCAACAGTTCGAAGTGAGAGTGTAAAAATTGCTTTAGCAACTGCAACTATTCTTGGTTTAGAAGTTTTCCAATTCGATGTTGACACAGTTTATCTACATGCAGACCTAGATGAAGAGATCTACGTGAGAAGCCGTCCAGGATTCCGACAGCAAGAAGGGGATACCTGGTTTCTAAACAAAAGTCTTTATGGTCTGAAACAGTCTGGTTTAATGTGGTATTTATGTCTTACTGACAAACTAAATTCAATGGGCTTTATTAAGTCCGAAACTGATGAGTGCGTGTTCACA